ATTCCGTTTTGCACGTGTGCCATGTTTAAAAGAACGGCACCGCAAATTAGCTCCTTTACGAAACAATTACCACGCCGCTAGGTGGCATAATTACACGACTAATTGCTCTCATTACGTAAACCACGTCGCCAACGTTTACCCCCTTTCTTCTTCTTTCGTGGAAACGTCGCGAATTACCCGTGGAAACCGAGGCGGTTTAGAATCGCCCCCCGCTAGATGGGGACAATCTGTAACCATCGTTGTGATTTATTTCTTTTTATCCACGGTGTGCAAGCTGCGCGAGATGAAAATTTGTGCGGTATTCGATTTTTTTTTCGTTTCTTTTAAGTTACTAAAGAGATGTTGAAATTACCGAATGAAGTGGAAAAAAAGCGATTAGCAAAAGGATTTTTTAATGGTTTCAAAGCTCGCAAATGTTTGTTTGTGACGGATTTAATTCGCATTTTCCGACGGTTGAAGTAAACTATTGCTTTAGTTTTTAAGTTAAATGCATCAAAAAGTTGGTGTGGTAATCAAAAATTAATTACATAATTCTGATTATAAGAAAAAATATTGAAATTGATTGCATACTTTAATGAAGTAAGCTAACGACGATAATAATTTAACTTTAGGTAAAACTCGTATTGGCCGATTGTATGTGTTTATGGCAGATCTGAGCAAAAATGCCCAAAAAGAGATCATTTAATTTATTAGAATCTCCCCCTAGTAGCTGTAAGTCTTTGACTTTGGTGAAGGAGCTTCATTCTGGATACATACCGGACTAGCGAAAGAATAAGTGTGATATGACTGATGACACCAATAAATGCTTACAATCTTAGGTATAATCGGCTGGTTCAAAGAGAATTATGGAAGAGAATTGAAAAATGGGACTCACATTGATTATTTCATCTTAAAAATGAAAAATGTTTTTTCAAAACCGTTGGTTGCATTGAAAAGTAGATACATTCTTTATTAATTCCCAGAAATTCCATTGCTATTTTTCAAGAATATGGCATCTGATATATCTTAATCATGAAAATCCTAAAATCTAAACTATTATGCTCAAATTAAAAAATGTCTATCTCAAAAACTAAAAGTGATTTTTGAAAACGAATGCTTTTGTTGCAAAAGAGATACATTCTTTAGTAATTCTTGGAAATATGACAGCTACTTTCTAAATATATCATTCGTGACAGTGCTGTAAAGTTCGCCCAAAAAAACTGAATATTTAAAAGATTGTGCTCACATTGCAAGGGTACTATCTCAAAAATGAAGAATGATTCTTCAAAATCGATGCTTGACTTGAAAAATAGATACATTTTTCAATAATTTCTGCAAATTTCATTTCTATTTTCCAACAATATGTCATACCACATGCGAGTCTGACAAAATAACGCAAGTAACAAAGTTAATCCCTGTATTCGTATTTTTCTCCACATCAATGCGTCTGAGAAGAAAAGTGCAAGAGAGCAATATTGTTAAGAATAAAATTTGCCACAATTTTTATTCTTAAAGTTTTTTTGCAACATCCTCAGATTCCTCAGTGTTACCATCAATCACTTGAAAAAAGAGCGAATTCGTAAGATTTTCATAGTTTCGTATTTTTCTCGATATCTATGTGTCGGAGAGGAAAAGTACCAGAGAGCAATGTTATTAACAATAAAATTTGCTACAACTTTTGTTCCAAATGATTTTTTGTAACATGATCAGATAACTCAGTGTTACCATCGACAACTTGAAACAACAACGAATTCAAAAAATTTTCATATTTTGGCTTTTGCTCGATATCTATGCATCTGACAGCAAAAGTGTAAGAGAGTAATATTGCTAAGAATAAAATTTGCTACAACTTTTGTTGCAAAAATTTTTGTATAACATGTTTAGATTCCCCAGTGTTACCATCAATTGTTTGAAAAAACAGCGAATTCGTAAGATTTTCATAATTTCGTATTTTTCTCGATATCTATGCGTCTAAGAGCAAATGTGCAACAGAACAATATGGTTAAGAATAAAATTTGCTACAACTTTCATTCTAAAAGTTTTTTTGTAATATGCTCAGATTCCCCAATGATACCATCAATAATTTCAAAAAAAAACGAATACGTCAAATTTTTATATCTTCGTATTTTTCTCAATATCTATGCGTCGGAGAGGAAAAGTACTAGAGAGCAATGTTGTTAACAATAAAATTTGCTACAACTTTTATTCCAAACGATTTTTTGTAACATGATCAGATAACTCAGTGTTACCATCAACAACTTGAAACAACAACGAATTCATAAAATTTTCATATTTTGGCTTTTGCTCGATATCTATGCGTCTGAGAGCAAAAGTGCAAGAGAGCAATATTGTTAAGAATAAAATTTGCTACAACTTTTATTGCAAAAGTTTTTGTATAACCTGTTTAGATTCCCCAATGTTACCATCAATTGCTTGAAAAAACAGCGAATTCGTAATTATTCGTATGTTTTTCTCGATATTGATGCGTCTGAGAGCAAAAGTGCAATAAAGCAATATTGTTAAGAATAAAATTTGCTATAACTTTCGTTGTAAAAGATTTTTTGTAACATGCTCAGATTCCCCAATATTACCATCAACAATTTCAAAAAACAACGAATAGGTCAAATTTTCATGTCTTCGTATTTTCCCCGATATCTATGCATCTAAGAGCAAAAGTGCAAGAGAGCAATATTGTTAAGAATAAAATTTGCTAGAACTATTGTTCTAAAAGTTTTTTTGCTACATGCTCTGATTCCCCAAAGTTACCATCAACAACTTGAAAGAACAACGAATTCATAAAATTTTCGTATTTTAGTATTTTCCTCGATATCTATGCGCCTGAGAGCAAAAGTACAAGAGAGCAATATTGTTAAGAATAAAATTTGTTACAACTTTTGTTGCAAAAGTTTTTTTATAACCTGTTTAGATTCCCCAATGTTACCATGAATATCTTAAAAAAACAGCGATTTCGTAAAATTTTCATAATTTCGTATTTTTCTCGATATCTATGCGTCTAAGAGCAAAAGTGCAAAAGAGCAATATTGTTAAGAATAAAATTTGCTACAACTTTCGTTCTAAAAGTATTTTTGTAACATGCTCAGATTCCCCAATGGTACCATCAACAATTTCAGAAAATAACGATTACGTCAAACTTTCATATCTTCGTATTTTTCTGGGTATTTACGTATCTGAGACACAATAATGCAACAATAATGTTAAGAATAAAATTTGTTACAATAATAATTATTGCCACATACTAACTAGGTCGAAGACAGCTGTCAAAAGTTAGACAGAACTAACAGAACACTTTGAAATAAACTGCGAGTCTGATAATAAGACGCAAGTGACAAAATTAATCCCTGTAAAATTGAATGTGGTTTTAGAAGCTCATTAATTTCATCAACACGACACTCTGACAACTATGTGCTTACGCAGATGACATAGTGATGCTAAGTGTAAGTATTACAGGAGAAGTGAGTGAAAAATTTACTTAAATTCACAAAAGAAGCCTCAAAAGAGACTTTTTTCTCCAGACAAGAACAATATATGGATGTGAAGCATGGACCATGTCCGATAACCTACATAAAGTGGTGCTGGAATATGGAGAATAAGAATGAATCACTAATGCACAATGGATGATGCAGAGATAGTACGACACTTAAAGTACAACGAAATTGCATGGCTGGGAAAATTGGAAAGAATGCAAGGAAACAGGGGAGCCTCCTTCTCTCTGGAGAGAATTGTAGAGTGGACACTATAGGGACAGAAATACATTTGGTGTACGAAACTGGAAGTGTGCAGCATTTGACAGATCAAACTGACAACGTATTGTGAAATCCTGAGCACAGGCCATTACAAAATAGTGAATCCTAGATAATTGTTGAAAACAATGTGATAGTTTCGATGATGTGATATTAACACCATGATGGTGGAAAGCAGGGTAGATGAAGTTCTGTCTTACTGTGTAAAAGGCCTTCCAGACGTTTCGGACCTTTTAGTTTTGAAGTCCTTGATTGTTTCCGTGAACTGCAATTCTGATCCGGAAAGCTAAAGGATAACATGAAATGACAGGTGCTGATATCATAGGTTTACATCCTATGAGATGGAGATTGGCTCACTTCTTCTCTCTGTTCCTGTTGTAATTGGCGAAGATGGTATTGAATATAAGATTGTGCGCAGCGATGATGGGGTTAAGTTTTTTGCCGATACTTTGAGTGACTTCATGATGAAGGCGCAGATTTCCGATAAAGGTATAATTGGTGGACCAACAGTTCAGCTTTACATTAGACATTAGAAAATAAGTTTCGTCTTCACTTTTAATTCCTCCTTGGATGGTGAAAGATCTTAAAACCGATGTTGAATCTCCAGTTTAGCTATGTTAGTCATAAAAACAGCATATGTCTTCAATCTGGATCAGAACTGGAAACGATCATCACTGCTCTCGTGCTTCATAGCAGGAAAATGTGGCATCTTTGGTCTGTGGATTTAAATTGGTCCTGGAAATAATTATGCACTTATCAAAACCAATAAATCTTTATGTACGATTCGAGGATGATCTTTGTGAGGTCAAGATAATCTCATAACTGTTTTGGTCTCAACTCAACAGATCTACACATAAGCAAAAAAAATTTTATACCTTGATAAACGCTAAAAATGCGTTAACATGCTATTTTCATTCCGCATAAGATTCTATTTTTCGATGTTATAGTTTTGTAATTAAATTATAAAAATTAGGTGAAGATCAAAAAGGTTATTGTTTGGTAACCTTAACATTTTTCTTTATTTATAAAAAAAAGATTATAAAAGTTAAACGAACTTAAATAATTTTTTTTATTTATAAAAAAGGGGTTATTAACTTATTCCAATGAATCTCCGTGGTTCTTTGGAGGGGTTCGATGAGATTCGCGTATAAAAGCGTGGCATCAAAAATCCGATTCTCATTATTGTCCTGGTAGCGAATCGAAACGAGTTCGAAAAACGACCGGTTAACGATTAGTTGCAAAAAATCTCTTCTCTTGCTTCTTTTAAGTATTCCTCTCAAGTATTCCTTTTTACTATTCCTCTTAAAGCAAAGTGAGGAAATTAAAGGTGTATAAACGCGAAAAGGAAACTCTCTCGACGAGTTGCGCCCCGAAAACACTGGTTGCCTGAAACGGTCGCTGAAGTGTCGAATCCAAAGTCATTTTCACGCATCCGTTCGACGACCGCGTTTTGAATTCGCGTCCGGTCTTCGAACTAATTCTGTAAAGGAGTAAAGAAAATTATTTCATTCAACTTCCCTGTTCCAATCGGTATGAAAGTCCTTTTAACTCTTCTCCTTGCCTCGGGGATTTACTGCAGAAATCTTCGTGGTGAAAACAACCAACAGGAATTACTCAAGATTTCCGATGAACTTCGTGGAGATAATTCTTTGGTAGACGAAAGAAATGGTTACTCTGAAAATTCCGTAAGTTATATATCTAAATTATTATAATTATTTATATTATAAATTCAATAAATTGGTAAATAATTGTATGTGATTTGAATTTCCAAATTAGGAATAATCAAATTAGGGGTTAAATTCATTTTCATTATGGTACCCAAGAGTACTAATAACAACGCTTTGTTGTTATATATTCTTCGCTAATTGTTTGATCGATTATTATTATTACCCGAGGCATTAACTTCGATAATATATTAATTATCATTCAGTATTATCATATTTAACATTAATTTCATTTCGTAAAAATCCCTTCTTTAATTTATTGTGATAACTAATACAATTAATTAATTCTATTGTAGAAACAACATTATTTCCACATCAATAATGATTATTAGAGCATATTGCTAAATTTTATTGAAATATTAAATTCGAAAGCATCTGCTTAATTTATTAAGTTATAAATAAAGAAATCACACAATCTCAATTTATTTATGTTAAGATAAACTATAAAATTTGTTTAGTTAAAAGTAACAAATTATTTTTTGTTGTTTTGAGGGTAATTTATGAAAAAAGATTATTATAAACCCACAGACTCGAATATGTTATTCAAAAAAGGACATTTTTAGCTTTAATTTGTTGTAAAAATAACAACTAAAGTTCCAAAAATAAATTTGGGATGATTTTTCGAAATTATTTTGACGTTTTGAGGTTAATAAAAATTTCAAAAAATCATAGGATATTTATTTATAGGAGTTAATTGATGATTTATGTCTTAAATTAAAGATAAATGTATTTTTTTAAAGATAATCCATGAAAATTTAGGTGTTAATAATCAAATTTCGCAGAAAAGAAATGTTAAACCATCAAGTTCATTTTTAATACTTTCAGGTTAGTTTATGAGAAAAAATTCAAAATAAACCCAACGATTATAATATATCATACGAAAGATGAAGTTTTTAGGTTTAATTTGATGTAAAAATAACAACTTAAAATCCAAAAATAAAGTTGGAATGATTTTTTGAAATTATTTTGACATTTTGAGGTTAATAAAAATTTCAAAAAATCATAGAATATTTATTTATAGGAGTTAATTGATGATTTATGTCTTAAATTAAAGATAAATGCATGCTTTTTAAGATAATCGATAAAAATGTAGGTGTTAATAATCAAATTTCGCAGAAAAAAAATTTTAAAGCATCAGACACATTTTTAATACTTTCAGGTTAGTTTATGAGAAAAAATTCAAAATAAACCCAACGATTATAACATATTATACAAAAGATAATGTTGTTAGCTTTAATTTGATGTAAAAATAACAACTTAAAATCCAAAAATAAAGTTGGAATGATTTTTTGAAATTATTTTGACGTTTTGAGGTTAATAAAATTTTCAAAAAATCATAGGATATTTATTTGTAGGAGTTAATTGATGATTTATGTCTTAAATTAAAGATAAAAACATCTTTTTAAAGATAATTAATAAAAATGTAGGTGTTAATAATCAAATTTCGCAGAAAAAAAATTTTAAAGCATCAGACTCATTTTTAATACTTTCAGGTTAGTTTATGAGAAAAAATTCAAAATAAACCCAACGATTATAATATAACATACGAAAGATGAAGTTTTTAGGTTTAATTTGATGTAAAAATAACAACTTAAAATCCAAAAATAAAGTTGGAATGATTTTTTGAAATTATTTTGACATTTTGAGGTTAATAAAAATTTCAAAAAATCGTCCATTCTTTATTCGTCGGAGTTAATTAATGATTTATATCTTAAAATAAAGGTAAATGGATCCTTTTTAAGATAATCGATAAAAATTTAGGTGTTAATAACCAAATTTCGCAGAAAAAAAAACATTAAAGCAATAACTTCATTTTTAATACTTTCAGGTTAGTTTATAAGAAAAAAATGATGATAAACCCAACGATTATAATATATCGCACGAAAGAGGATACTTTTAGCTTTAATTTGATATAAAAATAACAACTTAACCCCCAAAAATAAAGTTGCAATGATTTTTCGAAATTATTTTGATGTTTTGAAGTTAATAAAAATTTCAAAAAATCGTACAATCTTTATTCGTCGGACTTAATTAATGATTTATGTCTTAAATGAAAGATAAATGCATGCTTTTTAAGATAACCGATAAAAATTTAGGTGCTAATAATCAAATTTCGCAGAAAAAGAATGTTAAAGCAACAAGTTCAGTTTTAAGACTTTCAGGTTAGTTTATGAGAAAAAATTCATCATAAACTCAACGATTATAATATATCATACGAAAGATGATGTTTTTAGGTTTAATTTGATGTAAAAATAACAACTTAAAATCCAAAAATAAAGTTAGAATGATTTTTTCAAATTATTTTGACGTTTTGAGGTTAATAAAAATTTCAAAAAATCATAGGATATTTATTTATAGGAGTTAATTGATGATTTATGTCTTAAATTAAAGATAAATGCATCTTTTTAAAGATAATCCATGTAAATTTAGGTGTTAATAATCAAATTTCGCAGAAAAAAAATGTTAAAACATCAGTGTCATTTTTAATGCTTTCAGGTTAGTTTATAAGAAAAAAATGATGATAAACCCAACGATTATAATATATCACACGAAAAAGGATGCTTTTAGCTTTAATTTGATGTAAAAATAACAACTTAAAATCCAAAAATTAACTTTTAATGATTTTTTGAAATAATTTTGATGTTTTGAGGTTAATAAAAATTTCAAAAAATCATACAATCTTTATTAGTCGGAGTTAATTAATGATTTTTGTCTTAAATGAAAGATAAATGCATGCTTTTTAAGATAATCGATAAAAATTTAGGTGTTAATAATCAAATTTCGCAGAAAAAGAATATTAAAGCAATAAGTTCATTTTTAGTACTTTCAGGTTAGTTTATGAGAAAAAATTCATATTAAACCCAACGATTATGATATATCATACGAAAGAGGATGTTTTTGGCTTTAATTTAATGTAAAAATAACAACTTAACCTCTAAAAATAAAGTTGGAGTGATTTTTCAAAATTATTTTGACGTTTTGAGGATAACAAAAATTTCAAAAAATCGTAAAATCTTTATTTGTGGGAATTTATGGATGATTTATGATTTAAATTAAAGACAAATGCATCTTTTTAAAGATAATCGATAAAAATTTTGGTGTTAATAATCAAATTTCGCAGAAAAAAAATGATAAGCATCAAGTTAACAATTATAACAACGATTATAATATATCAAACGAAAGAGGATGCTTTTAGCTTTAATTTGATATAAAAATAACAACCTAAACCCCAAAAAAAAAGTTGGAATGATTTTTCGAAATTATTTTGATGTTTTAAAGATCACAAAAATTTTAAAAAATTGTACAATCTTTATTTGTAGGAGTTGATTGATAATTTATGTCTTAAAATAAAGATAAATACACCTTCTTAAAGATTATCGATAAATATTTTAGTGTTAATAACTAAATTTCGCAGAAATAAAATTTTAAAGCAACAAGTTCATTTTTAATACTTTGAGATTATTTCCTTATTCAAAAAAGGACGTTTTTAGCTTTAATTTGTTGTAAAAATAACAGCCTAACTTCTAAAAATATAGATGGAATGATTTTTAGAAATTATTTTGACCCTATTTTGCAAATAAAATTTCAAAAAATTTGCCAATCTTTATTTATGAAAATAAATTGATGAATTATGTCTTAAATTAAAGCTAAAACTGTCTATTTTAGGATAATCAATGAATACTCTTGTGGTAATTATTAAATTTCGCATTTTACAGTACATTCGTTTTCAATATTTTGTGATTAATAAAACCAGAATAAATTCAACGTCTCAAGGACGTTTTTAGTTTTAATTTGATATGAAAATAAGAATAACCTTCAAAACTAAAGTTGGAATGATTTAAATGAAAAACTAAGATCACACCAAACTCTTTAAATTAAAAGGGATACAAAACTTTTTCATCTTCAGCTTTCTAGCCCTTGATGTCCCTCTTAATTCAATTTGACTTCCGGAAATGTCAGCAGCGATTGTTTGCTAGGAATATTTTAATACCCCCCGAGTACTTATTACTTCCATTCTTTGATGTTATTAATATTAAAAATTATACAAATTAAGGTTTTTAATTACTTTTCAAGTACTATATCTATATGTAAAGTGTCTAAAGTGCTTAAAATGGCATAGAATTAAATTAAAATGTATGTTGGAGAGTAGCATCTGGATAGATATTAAAAATTTCGTTATAAAGATGAAAATTGTAGATATATTCGATTTGTTTTAACGATTATGACGCGTGTCCATTTTACGGGCGAAAAAATGCTAAAAAATCTGATCAAAAATGTAAAGATATTTACTATAGCCGATCGCAAAAGTGGACGAGCCACTTTTAACAGAAAGTATAAAGTTTATAAGCGCACGCCTACATTCACGCTCGATCGTTCCAATTTTTTACGATTTGTTTTTACAATCAGCAGATATACTCGGTCACAAAATAGCTAACGAAGTATGTATCTAAAAATTTCTTCTTCTTTTAATGCTCTAAATAAATTTTATAAGGTACGCAGTTTCTAAATCAAATTGCACAACCTTTTTTTCATCAAAAAATATACATGAACGAAGATTATTGATAACAGGTCATGTTGAAAATCCTTCTTTCGTAATCGCGTTAATTAGTAGTGAAGGGGTGATTAGAGCGTCGCGACGCATCATTGTTTGGACACGTTTTTTCTACATAACCCAGAAGCTTAGAACTTCAACCTCTCAATTTCATTTGGAAAAAATTTATTAATAATAAAAAAAGTTGAGGTATTAACGCAATCTAAAGCTTCGTTTTATTCCGACGACAGTTTAATTAAGCCCGCTAATTATTTTTTTTGTTAATATATTACGTTATTTTCGTTATAGGTTTTTGAAGAAAATGCAAATAAAGACTTAACGGAAAAATTACATCAATATTACTTGTTGGTGGAAGAACGAATTAATCTAAATCCGGATCAAAAATTGTCACCGCTAGACAAGGCTGTTTATTTATTCGTGAAGACGATGAAGCAGCGCAACAAGAGGCAAAACAAAAAGATGAAATGTAAGTGGTTATTTTTAAAATTAACATTCTTCGCGCTCTACTAACACAAAACCGATGCGGCGAGTTGAGTGTTAAACGTAAAATAGTCACGTGCCGTGGGACCTTCATCGAAAATAACAAAAGTAGGCTCAAGACCGACAAAATTATGACATAATTAACCTACTTTCATTGTTTTAGTTTCATTTCTTTCCTCGGATTCTTGAAATTATTTATTATTATATTTAAAATGTAAATAAATTAAATTTTGGTGGATGCGCCTACTAAAATTTTTATTTATTTATATTTTGTGCTCACCAATTAACAAAAATGTTTTAGTTTAATATTTGAATATTTAGTAAATATTATTAATTATTTTACCCATAAAGTATTTATTCAATTAGAAACTATTTACAAATTGATCCTGAATTACATCAAGTACAAACGTTATAATTAATATTTATTAAGCTATTTATTAACATATCCTTCATCTTTAACATATATCTTCAATTAATGAGAAGGAACTTGAAGGAAAAAGAAAATTTCTTTAAATTGAAGCAATTTTAAACGTGTGGATGTTGATACTCTTCTAGAAGTATATCATATTGCTTTGGAATTGTTATTGAATAAGCTTTAAATCAACATATCACACGTTATGATATGTTGATTTATCCAAAAGTTACCGAACAAAGATTTTCTAAATATCCGGATCTTGATACAAGTAAATATTCTTGTAGAAATATATCATATTGATTCTGAATTGAATATATAGATATTGAATTGTCCAAAAGTTATCGAAGACAGATTTTCACCTTTTTTAAGCAATTTTGAAACACTTGGTTCTAAAAATTCTATATCTTTGATCAAAATTTGTTACATATCATTGGAATCGTTGTTAATTAGGCTATTTATTACCATATCATACAGTAAGATATATTCACTTATCGAGTAGGCATTGAAAGAAAAAAAAATATCATTAATTTGGCAATCTTAAATTATTCTAAATAACCGGATATTGATACAACTAAACATTTTTCTAGAAATATATCATATCGCTTCGAATTTCTTATTGAACAAGCTTCAAATTGAGATATCACACGTTATTATATATTGATTTGTCCAAAAGTTATCGAAGAAAGATATTCACCTTTTTTAAGCAATTATGAAACACTTGATCCTGAAAATTCTAAATGTTTGATCAAAATTTGATATATATCATTGGAATCGTCGCTAATTAAGCTATTTATTACTATATCAAACAGTAAGATATTTTCACTTATTGAGAAGGCATAGGAAGAAAAATATTATTAATTTGGTAATTTTAAACAGTTCTAAATAACCGGATCTTGATACAAGTAAATATTCTTGTAGAAATATATCATATTGATTCTGAATTGTTATTGAACATGCTTCGAATTGAGATATCACACGTTTTGATGTATTGATTTATCTAAAACTTATCGAAGACAGATTTTCACATTTTTAAAGCAATTTTGAAACACTTAATTCTAAAAATTCTGTATCTTTGATAAAAATTTTTTACATATCATTGGAATCGTTGTTAATTGAGCTATTTATTACCATATCATACAGTAAGATATTTTCACTTATCGAGTAGGCGTTGAAAGAGAATGAAAATATCATTAATTTGGCAATTTTAAACTATTCTAAATAACCGGATATTGACGCAACTAAACATTTTTCTAGAAATATATCATATCACTTCGAATTTCTTATTGAACAAGCTTCAAATTGAGATATCACACGTTATTATATATTGATTTGTCCAAAAGTTATCGAAGAAAGATTTTCACCTTTTTTAAGCAATTATGAAACACTTGATCCTGAAAATTCTAAATGTTTGATGAAAATTTGTTATATATCATTGGAATCGTTGTTAATTAAACTATTTATTACTATATCAAACAGTAAGATATTTTGACTTACCGAAAAGGCATTGAAAGAAAAAGAAAATATCTTTAATTTGGCAATTTTCTGCTATTCTAAATAACCGGTTGCTGACGCAAACAAATACTCTTGTAGAAATATGTCATATTACTTCTGAATTGTTATTAAACAAGCTTCAAATTGAGATGTCACACGTTATGATATATTGATATATCCAAAAGTTACCGAAGAAAGATTTTAACCATTTTTAAGCAGTTGAAAAACACCCGATTCTAAAAATTCTAAATGTTTGATCAAAATTTGTTATATATCATTGGAATCGTTGTTAATTAAGNCAATTAGAAACTATTTACAAATTGATCCTGAATTACATCAAGTACAAACGTTATAATTAATATTTATTAAGCTATTTATTAACATATCCTTCATCTTTAACATATATCTTCAATTAATGAGAAGGAACTTGAAGGAAAAAGAAAATTTCTTTAAATTGAAGCAATTTTAAACGTGTGGATGTTGATACTCTTCTAGAAGTATATCATATTGCTTTGGAATTGTTATTGAATAAGCTTTAAATCAACATATCACACGTTATGATATGTTGATTTATCCAAAAGTTACCGAACAAAGATTTTCTAAATATCCGGATCTTGATACAAGTAAATATTCTTGTAGAAATATATCATATTGATTCTGAATTGTTATTGAACAAGCTTCAAATTGAGATATCACACGTTTTGATATATTGATTTGTTCAAAAGTTATCCAAGACAGATTTTCTCCTTTTTAAGCAATTTTGAAACACTTGATTCTAAAAATTCTATATCTTTGATCAAAATTTATTACATATCATTGGAATCGTTGTTAATTAAGCTATTTATTACCATATCATACAGTAAGATATTTTCAGTTATCGAGCAGGCATTGAAAGAAAAAGAAAATATCATTAATTTGGCAATTTTAAACTATTCTAAATAACCGGATATTGATACAACTAAATATTTTTCTAGAAATATATCATATTGCTTCACACTTCTTATTGAACAAGCTTCAAATTAAGATATCACACGTTCTGATATATTGATTTGTTCAAAAGTTATCCAAGACAGATTTTCACCTTTTTTAAGCAATTTTGAAACACTTGGTTCTAAAAATTCTATATCTTTGATCAAAATTTGTTACATATCATTGGAATCGTTGTTAATTAAGCTATTTATTACAATATCATACAGTAAGATATTTTCACTTATCGAGTAGGCATTGAAAGAAAAAGAAAATATCATTAATTTGGCAATTTTAAACTATTCTAAATAACCGGATATTGATACAACTAAACATTTTTCTAGAAATATATCATATCGCTTCGAATTTCTTATTGAACAAGCTTCAAATTGAGATATCACACGTTATTATATATTGATTTGTCCAAAAGTTATCGAAGAAAGATTTTCACCTTTTTTAAGCAGTTTTGAAACACTTGATCCTGAAAATTCTAAATGTTTGATGAAAATTTGTTATATATCATTGGAATCGTTGTTAATTAAGCTATTAATTACCATATCAAACAGTAAGATATTTTCATTTATTGAGAAGGCATAGGAAGAAAAATATTATTAATTTAGTAATTTTAAACTGTTCTAAATAACCGGATCTTGATAGAAGTAAATATTCTTGTAAAAATATATCATATTGATTCTAAATTGTTATTGAACATGCTTCGAATTGAGATATCACACGTTTTGATGTATTCATTTATCCAAAAATTATCGAAGACAGATTTTCACCTTTTTTAAGCAATTTTGAAACACTTAATTCTAAAAATTCTGTATCTTTGATAAAAATTTTTTACATATCATTGAAATCGTTGTTAATTAAGCTATTTATTGCCATATCAAACAGTAAGATATTTTCACTTATCGAGTAGGCATTGAAAGAAAAAGAAAATATCTTTAATTTGGTAATTTTAAGCTATTCTAAATAACCGGTTTCTGACGCAAGCAAATGCTCTTGTAGAAATATATCATATTACTTCTGAATTGTTATTGAACAAGCTTCAAATTGATACATCACACGTTATGTTATATTGATTTGTCCAAAAGTTATCGAAGACACATTTTCACCTTTTTTAAGCAATTTTGAAACACTTAATTCTAAAAATTATGTATCTTTGATAAAAATTTTCTACATATCCTTGTAATCGTCGTTAATTAAGCTATTTATTACCATATCAAACAGTAAGATATTTTCACTCATCGTGAAAGCATTGAAAGAAAAAGAAAATATCATTAATTTGGTAATTTTAAACTATTCTAAATAACCGAATGTTGATACAACTAAACATTTTTCTAGAAAAATATCATATTGCTTCAAACTTCTCATTGGACAAGCTTCAAATTGAAATATCACACATGATGATATGTTGATTTGTCCAAAAGTTATCAAAGAAAGATTTTCACTTTATTTGAGCAGTTTTGAAACACCTAATTGTAAAAATTCTAAATGTTTGATCAAAATTTGTTATATATCATTGGAATCGTTGTTAATTAAGCTATTTATTACTATATCAACCAGTAAGATATTTTCACTTTGAGAAGGCATAGGAAGAAAAATATTATTAATTTGGTAATTTTAAACAGTTCTAAATAACCGGATCTTGATACAAGTAAATATTCTTGTAGAAATATATCATATTGATTCTGCATTGTTATTAAACATGCTTCGAATTGAGATATCACACGTTTTGATGTATTGATTTATCCAAAAGTTATCGAAGACAGATTTTCACCTTTTTTAAGCAATTTTGAAACACTTAATTCTAAAAATTCTGTATCTTTGATAAAATTTTTTTACATATCATTGGAAGCGTTGTTAATTAAGCTATTAATTATCATATCAAACAGTAAGATATTTTCACTTATCGAGCAGGCATTGAAAGAAAAAGAAAATATCTTTAATTTGGCAATTTTAAGCTATTCTAAATAACCGGTTGCTGACACAAGCAAATATTCTTGTAGAAATATATCATATTACTTCTGAATTGTTATTAAACAAGCTTCAACTTGATATATCACACGTAATGATATGTTGATTTGTCCAAAAGTTATCGAAGATAGATTTTCACTTTTTTTAAGCAATTTTGAAACACTTAATTCTAAAAATTCTGTGCCTTTGATCAAAATTTGTTACATATCATTGGAATTGTTGTTAATTAAGCTATTTATTACCATATCAAACAGTAAGATATTTTCACTTATCGAGTAGGCATTGAAAGAAAAAGAAAATATCATTAATTTGGTAATTTTAAACTATTCTAAATAACCGAATGTTGATACAACTAAACATTTTGCTAGAAATATATCATATTGCTTCAAACTTCTTATTGGACAAGCTTCAAATTGAGATATCACACATGATGATATATTGATTTGTCCAAAAGTTATCAAAGAAAGATTTTCACTTTTTTTGAGCGGTTTTGAAACATCTAATTCTATGAATTCTAAATGTTTGATCAAAATTTGTTATATATCATTGGAATCGTTGTTAATTAAGCTATTTATTACTATATCAACCAGTAAGATATTTTCACTTATCGAGAAGACATTTGAAAGAAAAGGAGAAAATCCTTAAATTGGCAATTTTAAAATAATTAAAATAAAATACGTATCTCAAAAAGTAATTGAGATATCAAGATCATTTAAATATCACTTTATAGCAAATTTAATCTAGTTTTAACACTCCAGAAATAATTTCTTCGTTCTTATAAATCTCGGTGATATGATTTTTTTAATTAAACGCTGTTATTATTGAAGTTAAGTTGTTAAATGCAATTTACAACATTGTATCTCAGGAACGAATTAAGATATCAAAATGAAACAAAAACCATTTTAAAGGATATTTGATAAGGAGTTAATGTGTTGAAAATCATTTTATTATTTCTACAAATTTTGACATGACGATTTCTTAAATTAACGTCTGCATATTTACTTATGACAGGTTATGATTATTAATACTAATTTTAAAAAAATCATATCTCAAAAAGTAATTGGCATATCAATATCACTATAACATCACTTTATAGCAAATTTAATCTAGTTTTAACACACCAAAAATAATTCCTTCATTCATATAAATCTCGACGATACGATTTTTTTAAATAAATGCTGTTATTATTGAGATTGAGACCAAAATGTGTCTTAGGATCGAATTAAGATATCAATATATCGACTTAACGTGTTGAAAATCATTTTATTATCTCTATAAGTTTGGATATGGTGATTTTTTGAACGTTTTATGAACATATTATATACTTATGAAAGGTTATGATTATAAATTCCTACAATATCTCTTCAACGAAGTAAATAGTTGACCACCTCGCCAATTTTCTCTTTAATCATATAAATAGTAGAGCCTCGACCTTGTTTATTATCTTTTTAACGGAGTAAGCGCATTCATTATTATTTTTTCAACGGAGTAAGAGTTCTGAGTGTGTCTGTATGGATGGTATCTAATGCATAATTTTCTAGAGGCAGGATTAACTCGGATTGTGTATTTAACACAAAGAATGCTGTATCTCCTGTCTAATATAATTTCAATAAAGACTTGTTTAGCAATATTCGCCCAAATTATCTCACTCTGGTAATGTTCTGGTAATACATTGCATTAATCTGCGAAGGAGACAGATTATGGCAAAACATAATATCTTTTGCACAACATCCAGTGGAGTGCAGCAACGCGCCATACCTCAAGTATCAAAATCATAACATTTTGTGTAATATGATAAAGCACATAGCTAATTGCATAACCGCGATTTGACGATAACCAATGCTTGTCCGCAATGTTTCGAATTCGCTCAACATAAGATATCAACATAATTGGTATGGGTTTTATTTGTACTTATAATTCAGGATCAGCTTGTAAATTGTTTACTTTAATTATTATTTTATTGAACAATGTAAATAAAATAAAAAGAAAGGAAAAACAAAACTTTGATCGGCCACTTGCACTTTCTTTCATCGTCCCGGGAAAAAAAGTTATAAAAAACCCAGGCAAAACATCAAAACAAAAAACAACTTCCTGCAATTTGTTTCGATGGTATCGAATTCGCCATTTGTTTCAGATCTCACGTTCTGTCACTTCAAGATTTGCAACATCGGTGGAAAACGGGCCGCCCGCTATGTGCACATGTCGAAACCAGCCTACGAAGACAGCGTACCTACGTAAAAATATGCGCGATATCTACACGAAACCTACGAGTGAGATCAGGAGAAAGTAATAATGTGATTTGATTTTTTTTTTTGAACAACTATTCATTTTTGGTTATATTTACTTTTGCGAAAAAACCTTAAATTATTCATTTTGAGGGATTTTAGTGAAATCAAAAAGTCTTAAGTATTACTTCTTATTTTATTTTTAATAATATTATTTATGTTTTATTTATAAATAGTAATTTAAGTTGTTTTTATATTAAATTATTTATGTATTTATGTATCTATATATTATTTTTTGATGATCGATGACTTATTTTTTTTTTATATGTGTAACAAACAAAAATAAAAACGCATCACAACCTCGCAAATAATTTTTTATTTTTAATTTAATCTTGCAATATTTTCGATTTATTTCGATGATGATGGTTAATACCCGAAACACGTATATATATATATATATATATATTATATAAAATAATAAGTTATTTATTAATTATTTTTCGTGTTACATTATAAGTGTTATTAAACTGTTATTATCATGACAGCAAATCAAATTGTGTGATGGACGTATTTACTTACTTTTATTTTTTGTAACATCAATTATTTTTTTACATAATATAGTTTACTAGTTTATGTATAATTTCCCAGCACTGTGTACATAAGACTTATAAAAGCGTTGATAAGATATCAGATTCGAATTGTATTATGTTAAACTATATGGTAGTTATTATAGTATTGTTTGCCTTATTATGATGGATCATTATGATTATTTTTCTTGGTTGTTTATTGATACGGTTCGGTCCCGATTATGTTTTGTGCCCACTTTCAAGTGGGAATAATTGTTTTTCACGTATAAAACCCCGTGTTTATCAACTTAATCTCAACTCCACGTAACGTAATGTGAATGCGAGTTTAATTTTGGGTTCATTCTCCATAACGGAATTCTTTTAAGTTATTTTCGTACCGTTCAAAAGAAAATTTTTATTGCGCAATCGGTATTTTGTAAACATTTACTTTTGGGTCTCATTGATGCAGGACAAAAATATCTTTGCCGATATTTTTAAATCTAAAATTTATCACAAACATTTATTTTTAAAGCGTATCTTATCAATGCGAATTAAATGTAAATAATAATAAAAGTATTCCATTTTTACGTTTCCTATGTAAATTAAAGAACGAATATATATTAATTGTAAGATTTAATTGTAAAGACTTATAACTGTGAGAAAAAGTACGTGAGCAAATAAAACGATAAGAAGCAAATTTAAAACAAATCGTTTATTTTTTCGTATTTTTTACAAGCACCAAAGCGGATTACAAAATAAGAACAATAATAAACGGTGTGAAATAAAAAGAAATAAAACAGAATTATTCTCCTGTTTATTAAAAACTGCTACGACGTGCCCAACACCCGTTTTTTTTTAACATTACACAATTAATTTTCAATACGATTACAATTCTCAACGTTTATTAAAAGCTATAGTAGTGTAAATACATAATATATAATTTTTTCCAATCTTAAATATATCATAAATAGATTTTTAAGGCCACTAGCTCTACATATTTATAATTTTTTCTTTATTTAAAATGTTTTATTTTCTTACAACACGGACGCACATGTAGCAGTGATATTGATAAACGTAAGCAAACATCTTATCCATAAGCGGTCAAAGTGATCAAAGTGTATTTAATCTCTTTTGAAACATCAGCCTGTAAAGAAACACCCAATAAAATAAGAGATACAAATTTATTTCTTGTTAAATGTGAATGCGGACGAATCATGTTAATTTAACACTTCTTAATAAATATTGGCAGTTTTTGTGTTCTTTATTATTATTACTTTTTTATTAAAAATGATTTTTTCGTTTTAAATTACCTCCATTCGATCGCATTTATTGTTTGTTTGTTAATATATTGTTACAATGGTGCATGAGAACGTTAAACATTCATAATAGTTAATTAATAGATGTAGAAAATAATAAGAACAGGTACTTTTGTGCGAAGGGACGTGGTTTAATCGACCAGTGCCAGTAGTACTTTCTTGTAATCTCCTGAGGTGTCACCCTGCAAAAGCAAGATGATTACTTTTAGTATATTTATTTGTTAAAATAACATGCATTAAGATAAAGAATAGCTTCAACATCAAATTTTTTAAATAAAACATACTAAAGGAAGAAATTATTAGGAACAGTGAAAAAGGTAAAAAAATATGAATATAAAATATGAACCCAACCCCCCTTAATCAACTTCGTGGTTATTATAAGAACCAAAGAAGCATAGAGATTCAAAAAGTAATAAAAGTTATAACTTCAAGTCGTTTAATGTTGGTGTTAATATCGAAATGCATCAGATGCAAGAATAAATGGAGCCTATCCTGGGAAGAGGATTGCTACTCTGTAACTTGAGTGGTCTTTTGCCCGTCTTAAGAAGAAAGACAATAAGCCTTCTGAAGCAGTGAATGAGTATGCCTTAATGATTTAAGTTGGCAAACCTATTACTAGTCTAAAGAGCACTGAGCCAATCACCCCCACTCTTGAAATTAAATAATTAAAGAAACAACAGATTCTTTATTGCTGACTTTTGACATGAAGAAAACGAGAATATATTTATGGACACCTTTACTACTGCTACCAGGAACTATAGAAATAAGTAAATAAGTAACAGCGGCTTCTATCTACCTTAACTTGATTGCATTCACGTTGCAATCAAAACAATACGCGTGTTAGGCAACATATCAGCATAACACTTTGTGAAAGTCTTAGTCAAAGTTAATATTGTAAATATATGTATAGGAAGTTTGCTCATTTATCAAAAGAAAGATTGTAAGAAGTCTTGCTACTAAGGTGTTCTTTTTGAACAGTTACCTTCTTCTTTTTCCAGATAATATTGATGATGTCAGTGTGGAATAAGGTTTGATTGCGACATCAAAGTGTTGAAAATAGAGTACTATGGTGAAAAGTTCAACAAGCGTCTCGGAGGAGAAGAACTATACATCAACGTCTTTTTGATCTATTAATAGTAATTTAAATTTGTGATGATAAAAACGAATTCAACATAAGACAAAAAGTCTATTACACGGATTGGATTATAAGGCACCCTCTTCTTCCCCGGTTAAGATGTGAACACTGCTAAATTAAAAACCACCATGGCACTCCTAGCCTCTGTTTTGTGGGCGGAAACGTCTTTTATTACCATTAGGATAGTCTTAGAATTATCCATACCATTAGTGTTTGTGGACAAGAGAGTCAATACGTGATCTTGTCAAAGTACTCACAGTAAGCTTGGGTTGAGTACAACAAAGTCAGTGTAAAACGCTCACGTTGCTAGATCATGATGAAACAATGCCCACCCGAAAAATGTGTCACTCCCATACAATATTGCCAACGCTGGAATTATAGTTTGATCGTTCAAGTAAGCATTCGTCCCTTTATTCTATTAATTTTTATTTGCAATGCAAGCTAGAAAACTAGCACCAAAGTCATTGGCTTATCTTTCCAGGTGTGTATCCTCAGGTATTTCTGTTCCTAAAATATATCCATTCTAGAAGGTTTCTTCTTTTTATTTCAAGCGCCGAACTTGTCAGGTTGGGCAAGAAATTCATGATTTAGTCAATAAGCAAAATATTGTCTCATACATGTATGTCATGGTCATGATAGAACTGTATTACTGTTTTATAGATACATACATATTCTAAAAGTCTCAAGGAGTCAAATCGCACGATCTTGATGATCTTTGATGTTTGTAATATTTATTAACGACTTATTAAACAGATTTAAGTCTGGTGTATTGGCCTATGCTGATGATCTTAAGATATTTCCTCCTATGACCTCGGATGATGATGTGGCATCGTTGCAGTCGGATCTTAATATCTTGGTTTAATGGTGGGATCGCAATCAGATCAGGATTAATGTGGAGAAGTGTAATGCTATCATTTTTACACGTAAAACTACTCCTATCCCTTCATCCTACTGTATAGGTGGATTCTTCCTGGTTACGTTCACTTCTGTCAGAGATCTGGGAGTAACTTTTGATAGCAGACTATCGTTTATACAGCACGTTTATGTCGCTTCCTGTACTGAGAGGATGCTTGGTTTTGTACTCAGTAATTAACGTTTATTCACCAATTCTTCACCATTTTTCTTCGCTTGACACTCGAAGGGATGATCACGACGTTAAATTTATTATAACGCTGGTGAGTGGTGAAATGGATTGTAACTGGTTACTCTCTTGCATCTGCTGTGTCTTCTACTTTAAGAATAGTAGAACCAACGTGCATGCTAGCGCTCCGCTACAGAGAATGTACAGGCTTGTAAACCTGAGAGACGATTACAAAGTTTTCGCTTAGTGTTTAATTGATTCTTGTGTTAATATAAGTTTGTATTTCTGTATAATACAATATTGTCCTGTAATTAGTACTTTGTTGGGCAATAAAGATATATATTATTATTATTATCTTGATCCAAAATGATTTATACAACTTCTTACAATTAAATAAAGTTCTATTTGTCCATTCAGACCTTCCATTTATGATGTCTTATACCTTTTTGTTCACAACTTTACTTTATTTACACACTTTTCATAATTTTAATATTATGACCAATTTCTCGCTCTGATAAGTTCATAAATTTGTTTATTTACTTCAGATTTTTGTTTTATAAAATAGGACCGCCAACAATTGTGTAAACCAATTGTAGTGGTGCTGTAGCTCTTGGTAACTAATTTTCAAAATGTTATTTTCTAGCCAAGCACATCTCGCATATGAAATCGTTTTCACAATCTATAAATTGTATCTTATTCTGCTTTAAGAATTCCGTGACATGTTTAACACTTTCAGCTCCATAGCATAGACTGAAACTGATGGTAATAAATATTGCATGAGCAAGGAATACGCTTCCCTACTTTTTAATTGGAGCTAAAACTGTTAATGTTTTGATGAGCTAGTTTTAAATGCCAATCTGTTAATGAAACTCAATTCTTCTCACATGTATGCATTCTAACATTACATTATTTTGATGGTTTTGCTGTTTTTGTTTCGACCTGTAGTAGTATATAAGCAGCATCTTATATTATTTATTTTTATCTACAAACTGGTCTCTCATATCATCAAACGTCACGTACTGTTCAGAGCACAACCAGCAGAGAAAAGGTTAATTTTGAAGTCTGGCACACAACATAAACCCATAAAATTAACTTTTAGCCATTTCCTATTTGCGCTTCATTTCTTGTTTTTTATTTATTCATTTCTTCAAAAAGACATTACACATTACAGATTAATTTCCCGTGTGTACACCATAAAAGCATTTCTATCATCATCTTTTTCTTTGTGAGTTTTTCATTTTTGTGACACATTATTCTTTCTGTCTGATTTTGAATCAGTAATTTTGTATCACGGCCAGTCTTTTTACAGGATACGCAGAATTTTTAATTTTTTGACTATTCAATTTATTTATTTTTTCTATAAAAGCAATGTGGTTGATTTGAAACAAATATAACATCGTCTTGTATTATGGATGTTATAAACAACCGACTTCACACAATAAAATATGGGTCAAGGGGAACTGCTATATCCTTGTTAGAATTATTTCTTGAACTTTAGCATCATGTCCACTTTGCGCCATGGAAAAAGTTATCTTAACTTCCCTGCCTCATTTTTCGAATAAATCAGAATCATCTTAGTAATTAAAATTGGACAGCGTTATACATCACTTGACTAAGCGACATTTTATCGTTTTTAGAGATTTTCATGCTGTTTGATAGGTAACGTAAGTTACACCTTTCAGTTGTCAATGTCAACCTTAATTTTATTATTATATTCGTAATCTTCATAAAATAACCTTTAAAGTGAGTCCAAACTTGACGCATTTATCTCAAAAAACCAAAAAGTTCGAACTTTCAACTTTTAATTTTGACATATTTGTCAACTTCATAAAAAATCCTTTAAAATGAGTCCAAACTCGACATATTTAACTTTAATATTAATGGAAATACAATCACTTCCGGTTTGAAACGTCAACGTCAATTTTGACATATTTGTCATCTTCATTAAAAAACCTTTAAAATGAGTCCAAACATGACGCACTTATCTCAAAAAACAAAAAAGTTAGAATAAAAAACATTAAACCCGAAGTTAGCAACAATGAAGATAGCAATTTAATTTTTAAATATTAATACCAACCTTAATTTTTTATTTTTTTTATTATATTTTTGTTTTTGTGACAAATATTAAGACATTTTATAAAAATTAAGAATATGTCAAAATGACATTGACATTTCAAACCGGAAGTTGCTTATATCTCGAGTAATATTGGAATTAAACGTATCATGTTTGGACTCATTTTAAAGAATTTTTCACGACGATTACAAATATGTCAAAATTGACGTTGACATTCTTAACCGGAAGTTGACCATAACTTTTTTAATATTGAAGATAAATATGTCGTGTTTGTACTCATTTTAAAGGATTTTTAATGATGATTACAAATATGTCAAAATTGAGGTTGACATTTTAAATCAGAAGTTAGTTATCATGTAATAGAAGTTTTATAACTGAAATTAATCTAATGTTAGTCACTTTCCAGCAATTTCTTTTTGTTTTTTACGTGTTTTTTGGGTCATTTCTCATTGATTAAAAAAATCGTCGATTTTTAAACCACATGATGATTCTTGAATTTGTCTTGAAAGTTTCTTAATATTTCTTTTGTTAAAAACGAGCGTTCTTAAATTTTAACCTATAAACTTGTAACACTTCGTCCTTAATTTAATTTTACCACTTTTAAACTTTAATTTTGTAAATTAGTAATTAATAATCTGATTTTAATTTTGATATGTGATCTTTTTTAACAAAACAAAAAGAGATATTAAGAAACTAGTTTGTAAAATGGATAAGATGAGAGATGTTAATCTATTTGTAGAGTCTCTGAAGATGGCAAAGGGCCGAAACTGGCTAGACTTAAATTTCAATAGTTAAACAATTTTCAATAGTTTGAGCCTGTCTATTCTGAGAAGTCTTATATCTTTAGAAAGAAGAAAACGAAAATCCCGTTTCTCTCAACATTATTAATTTGTCGCCTAGTCAATTATCCAATTATTACTTATATATAATGTTTGTAGTACACCTGTAGATTACAGCTTACAAAAAACATGATAAGAAAAATTATTTTAAGAAAATTTTAAGTCAGGATATTAAAGGATAAGTTGAAAATAAGATCATGCAAAGCGAAAACGTAAAATGATATAATGAAAGACCCAATCCAACCCAAATCTTTTTTTTTGCCTCAAATAAAAAACTTGATACTATCAACCAACATAAATTTAAATAAATAATAACCAGAGGTTTGATTAGAGCTTTTTTATTGAAGGCAAAAATTATACTTACAGCAATCCAATCTTCCAAAGGTTTTCCAAATTTATCCAAGAAAGCTTGTTTGATATCAGCAAGATCAATTTCCGATCTAGACACGATAATACGAATCAAAGTCTTGTCCTTGGTTCCCAAACCGGCCATGGAATCATGAAGACGTTCCGCGAAATATCCCACTTTGCTTTTCACGCATTTTACTATGTATCAAAAGTAGGATTTTAATAATTTTGAAATTAAATTTAATTTTATAACTTACCGATTCCCAGTAAACCTTTTTTAACACTTCCGGAAAATTCCTTCTTAATAGCATCTTCGATATCTTTACCAGAAAGTCTTTCGTATTCAGCGAAAGTTTGACGGAGTTGTTGGTAACTTCTAGTTATCAAAATAGTGTTAAATTGAGATTCGTCGGTGCCAAGTTTTCCTTCACCCGCTGCGACAAGCAATTCAGCGTCGGCGGTTGCTTGAGCTTCATTAACCCCTTGATTTTCATCACGATTTCCCTATAAATTTAACCAACTTAAACAATTTCTTTTAAATAAAAAATATATTTACTTGAACTAAAGAAACCAATAATCTTTTGAAATGTCCAGAAGTATCATCTTTTAAATCATGTTCAAGAGATTTTCCATACACTAAAAATTATATTAATTAAATTAAATTTAAATTAATTAATTAATTAATTACTTTGTTCGTAAAATTGGGCAATAGTTCTAATACCATAATTAGACAAAGTACATAAAATTTCAATAATCGCTTCTTCATCAGTTCCCATTCCAGCGACGGCATCGTGGAGTTCTTTGGCGTAGAATTGAGGCAAGGGGGTCATTAAGGCGATCATAACATCTTCGAATTTTCCACCCAATTCATCCTTTAGTTCGGAAACTAAATCTTTTCCATACGACGTTTTAAACGTTTCGGCAATTTCCAATCTTTGAACGATTCCTCTACGCGCTAACACATCGATAATGGCACGCTCATTCGTTCCCATACCTTTCATTGCCGCTTTTAATGTTGCGGCATCGGCAACCGGATCAAAAGGATCCGCTGGATACACAGTTGGTGTACACTAAGAATTAAAAAAATCAATTTTAATTGTATTTACTTTTTAAAAAGATAATTAAAAGAGATAAAAGAATATTGTAATAGGATATATCCATTTTCACAGTGTGTTAATATTTTAAAAGAAAAATTATGTAATGATACTTTGGTGATAATTTATTAATTTATCGTCTAGACCTGGTTTCGGGCCCTATCCTTCATGAGTAGATTAGACCCTACAATGTACAAAAATATAAGATAGTAACATTAGGAAAAAACTAAGGTTAAAGTAGCATTGAAAATAAGGTATATAAAAAACTTAAAAACTAAACTCACGTCAACATTAAAACTTTGCAAAACATAATACAATATTATATGTATATACAATTTATAAATCACGTCTCGATATTAGAGGTTAAATTCAAGTTCACAGTGACAAGATGAATTGTGGGTAAAGTAGATTGTGGGTAAAGTAGATTATCTACTTTCAAACTTTGCAAAACATATACAATATTCACATTAAGATATCAGCAAACAAAAAGTTCTTAACTAGTTAGTTACTAAAAGAAAACGGTTGTTAAACATTGAATCTATAAATCAGGTCTCGATTAGAGGTTAAATTCAAGTTCGTAATGACAAGATGAATTGTGGGTAAAGTAGATTGTGGATAAAGTAGATTATCTACTTTACCCACAATTCATCTTGTCACTGTGAACTTGAATTTAACCTCTAATATCGAGACGTCATTTATAAATTCAATGTTTAACAACAGTTTTCTTTTAATAATATCAAGTTCATTCCAATTAACTAGTTAAGAACTTTTTGTTTGCTGATATCTTACTGTGAATATTGTATATGTTTTGCAAAGTTGACGTGAGTAGTTTTTAAGTTTTTTATATACATTTTTTTCAATGCTTCTTAATGTTACTATCTTATATTTTTGTACATTGTAGGGTCTAATTTACTGATGAAGGACAGGGCCTGAAACCAGGTCTAGACGATAAATTAATAAATTATCACCAAAGTATCATTACATAATTTTTCTTTTAAAATAGATAATAGAATAGTTTGGATTTAATAAATTTTAAATTCAGACTTGGCATTTAGATTAATGCAGTTTATATGATTTTCTTTTAATAGGTCAGAAAAGATGACGTAATAACTTAAAGAATGAGTGTTGTTTTCAAGGTTGATTGTCAGATTTGTGAATAGAAGTTGAAAGAGAAACTTAAGGAGGACATTGCGATGTGAAAACGTAATTGTTTCTTAACCTTAAGTAACCTAGCTTGTTGTGAATGATAATTAGTTTTTATTTCATAAATAGATTGAAGGTGAATTGTAGTGAGTAATGTGTAAGAAATGAGTTTTTCAAACAAAAATAATGTAAATATCTAAAATAAAACTTAATTTGCAATGATTTCATTCAAAGAATCTTCTATAAGAAATATACTCTTATCTTAGTAAGACATACACATATCTAAATATACATAATTACTTCAGAATAGGATGAATCACACAAAAGAGATTTCATGAGTAATTTAATACCAACAAGATGAATAATGAGTTTATTGAGCAATTTTTGTTAAAAAATATTAAATAACATGTTATGACGAATGTATCGTGAGATAATAAGCAATAATTTGAGATAACCTATCATGTGTTTAGTATGTATTCAGCTAATTAAGCGCCAAAAATTAATTATAATCCTAAAAAATTAACGGTGGAGTTACTTCACCATCTGTTAAAAATAAAAATTAAATCATGTCTTTTAAAATGTAAAAAAGTCTCACTTTTTCAACAAAGATGCTGTATTTGTTAAACATCTAAAGTTGGACATTTTATGTGATGTTTGACAAAATGAATCAAATGGAACTATTGTTGAAATGGCGATCTAAAAAAAATATAGGCAGGCATTTCAAAAATTCAGCTGCTCAGACTTCGGTCTAAACTTGAAATTAAAATTCGTGAAATGTATGATCGGTGCTTCTGTATAAAGTTGAAGAGTGGACCTTGAAAACAAGTACAATAAATAACCTGAAAGCATTCGAGATATGGACATACCGCAGAATACTAAAAATTCCTTGGGCTGCAGGGGTAACAAATGAGGATATACTCACTTGAGTAAACAAATAACACGAACCGTTTACCACAATTAAAAAGAAAAACTGCATATTTAGGACATGTGGAGCAACATGATAAAAACAAATACATATCTCCCATCAATAATTGAGGGCAAATTAAAATGGCGATGAGGGATTAGCAGAAAAAAGTTATCCTGAGGATGAAGGAACAAACTTATAGTCATATGCAAAGAAAAATGATGTAGCCAAAGTGTGAGTACAAAGAGGATGGAGAAAAAGCCCATTGATGTTTCTTCTGCAGGAACGATCCAACGTTCAGTTAAGATTAATAACTATAAAATTTGCATTTATATTTGCTCCATTCGCTGAAATTTAATAACAAACGCGATGAGGTTGTCTGCCATCAACCTACATGGAATGACCTATAATCAACGTTCTTGCTTTTCTATATAGTGTTACTAGTTTTTTACAGATCTAGATAAAAGAATGACTTTAGCAGAAGTGACTAGAAAGTTCGTGAATCTTCAAAATTCGTCCGATATTCTAAAAAAGGATCTGCTGAAAAAGTTGAAAACGTGTTGAGTTTATGAATTTAGGATCAAACTCGAAAAAGAGCCACTCTAAGCTCGGACTCATTAGAAATAAAGCTATACGACGATTTTATGGAAAGTGAACCGCCATCAAATTTTGAGCTAAAACCGTTTTCCGCAAGTAAGGGTTGGTTCGACAAATTTAAAAAGCAACACAATTTGCAATTGATGGAAGAATCTGCTTCACCCGATCATGAGGCAGCAAAGCTGTATCCAGAATCCCTATAAAGCATAATTCAAGATGGTGGTTATGACCCGCAACAAGTATTCAATGCAGATTAAATCCTAGAATCTTCTAAAAACAAAACTTCTCTTCTTCAGCATTTAGACTAAGGTATTATAGATACATTCAAGGCATATTATACCAGGGGAAATTACTAATTTTCAAGAAATTACTAGATAATTTGTACAGTGATACCGACCTAACTTTACCATAATGCTGGAAAAATTACATCATTGCTGATTGTATAGAAAATAATGAATTAACAGTTGCGCCGTGAATTGAAAAATTCACATTGAATTGTTGCTGGGGGAAAATCTGGCCAAAAAGAGAAGGATGATGAGAATTTGCAGAATGTCATCTAGGCTATAGGAGCTTAGAGCGGTCGTTGCCAAAAGATGGTTTTAGTGACTATCATTCAACTGTCAGATATTGAATAGCTACTTGAGTGATATGATTCTGAACTGAAAGAAGAAGAGCTGGTAGCTTTAGTAACTGACCTACCAGCTGATGAAAATAACAAAAATACGTTTCCAGCTATGTTAACTCCTTAACTCTCAAATTCTTCAAATTTGATATACAGCTAATATTTATGAAGCTCTACAATAAAATGACAAAATCGTCAGCCACACTACCTATTATGTAAATAGAGGGACTACTATATTTAGATCCATCTCAGCGATTTTTCCATACATGTTTAATGGTTTTTACGAATTTATCCGTTATTTTTGAGAAATACTGCATATATCATTGATAAACCAACAACATTTTTAATCCCATCAACATTCTGATATTAAACTCCATTAATTTCAAACAAAACCTTTTTAAATCTGATATACTTTAATCTTAGCTCGAGATATCTAAACGCCTAAGATAACAATAAAACCTTAAAAACGTTTTTATTATAAAGTAAATAATTAAAATATCAAACTTTACATTGATATCATTAAAACTATGTTTGAAATCTTGCAATGAAATTTAATAATGAATATGAAATATGCCACTATGTACTATGTATACAGGTGTTTCTGTAAGTCAAAATGATGACGATTCGTGTAAAAATTTTTGGTCTAAACCAAAATATTTTAGCCATTTGTGGCTAAGATATGGACCTTCAAAGTTAAGAAATTTTTAAACATTTTCTTAAATATTTTCAATATGGGTTATCTTAGAAAGATTAAATTTGGCAAACAATACAATGTTATCATGAGAAATCGTTTAAGACCACTTTTGAAAATAAGCAACCTCGGGATCAATGCTATACTATACAGGTGTTCACAAAGATTATTTCCTTAAAACTTTTTTATTATGTCGTATACCCTTAAAATTTACAACTGATTTTAAAAGCCTATTTCATTTTAAAATGATTTTCACTCTTAGAAATTTTTGATTATACGCATCGTTTTCGAGTTATTCGCAAAAAGATACAACCTCAAAAAGTAAAAAGAAGAAATTGTAAGTAAAGCAGTAAAGCAAATGTCAAATTATTTCCCAATAGTTGTTTAAAATGGCAAATAAGTGCAGTTTTAGTGAGCAAACTGAGATACTTTTAACATTGGAAGAGTCTGTAGGCAATGCTAATGCTGCGGCGATATTGCCAAGAATTTCCCAACTGCAGATAACCTGGAACAAATGGAAGACTGCCTTGGTGTCTCGCATCACGAAATGCAGTAACCCCTCAGGACTAAATGATCTTCGGCCTATTAGCATCTTAAATGTTTGCTCTAAGGTAGTAGAAAGGATTGTAGCTGTAAGGATTTGGGATCATCTTAATACTTTTACTTTAAGCTTTTCTGAATGTGACCGATGATATCTTGCGTGGATTGGATGAGGGAAATGTTACGGCTCACTTTTCTAAGGCGTTTGACCCTCCATCATTCGACTTTACTTGCTGTGCTACATTATGTTGGTTTCTCCCCCGTTGGCTATCGATTTTTTCAAAAACTATTTTTTACATCGTTCGCAAATTGTTAAATTTCATGGTGTTTTGTCGAAGAGAGGTTATACTACTTCAGGTATACCTAATTTACACTATTAATCTCTGTTCCAATCTAAAGCATTGCAAAACCCACATGTATGCTGATGATACTCAATACCTCGGTTTTGATGGGAGAGACTTGGGCATGTCCGAACTTCGAATTAATTCTGATCTTGAATTATTGCTTCAGAACGCCACGTGCCATTGTTTATCTATAAATGCATCAAAATCCTCTGTTATCATCTTTGGAGGAGTTAATTTAGGTGTTGCGCTGGACTCTGATTTGCGATTTAGAAGACATGTCAGAAGTCTTCTTCTGCGGGCTTATTCAACTCTCAAGCATTGTATTCCAACAAAAACCTTTTACATTAAAAATTAAGAATATATTTGTGCGAAGCACTTGTGTTATTCATCTTTAACTAAGGGGATCCGCTTTACCATTCTTGCTCTGATGCTGCGGACAGAATTCGAATTCAACGGGTACAGAACTCTTGCCTTCGTTTTATATTTAGGATCAGAAGATATCTAACTCGCTTGCATGGGTTGGTTGGCTAGATATGTCACGACGAAGAATTTTACACCGTGCTTGTTTGTATCATAAAATACTTATTTATAAGACTCCTCCTTATTTATATAACAAAATTAGTTATCGTACTGATGTTCATAATATAAATGTTAGACGCAGGTATACGTTAACAATACCAAAGCATCGGCTTAAATTGTTTGAGCGAGCTTTTTCATACTGTGTGTCTAACATTTATAACAACATTCCTATTCGGATGAGGCTGGAGAATGAGCGCGGATTCAAGAGAAAACTTAAAGTGGAGCTGTGGATGCAGCAGGAGGAAATGAGTCATCGTTAATATCATTAGTACCTTTTTTATGATTTCACCTTTTGTTTTTAATTTCAATTCGTTAAATTATAATTTTCTGAGTTGATTGACTTGGTGCTAGGTTGGGTTTTGATTCATCATTATAATGTATTATATGTTTTTTTTTATATTCAAGGGCCACGAAAAACAGTTTAGCATTCTTGCTTAACTGACTTGGTCCTTTTTAGCTCCAAATTTAGTTTAATTGATATTTTGTTTGATTATGTTACTTTTTATTGTTTTTTATTTTGTAGTTTCTTTTTTGTAATTCTTTTTGCATGTAATGGGGTTAATAAATATATTTTATTATTATTATTACCTGATAAAAAACATCGCTAAAAGTATATAACTAACTGTAATGTAATTATGGATTTTGTGGCAGATCGTAGTCCTACTAGTAGGTACTGTTGATATAAGAAGACACAGGTACCGCTTGGCGTGTCCCACACGAACAGCAATTATTAATATTCATACCACTTGTCGACAGTACAAGAATAAAGAAGTGTTGATCAGTTTTGCCATAGTATAATGGACAAATGTAATATTGATGCTGCGCTTTGGAACAACAATATTTTATTGATGCCCATTAATTTGAGAAATGCTCATAATTGGACTGAAGAAAATCCAAATGAAGACAGATTGTTTTTCTAATATTCATTAACGATAGTATTTAAAAAAAACGAGGTTGTATTTTTTTATGAATAATTCTAAAACGATGGGTCTAATCAAAAATTTCTAAGAGTAAAAATAATTTTAAAAAGAAATAGGCTTTTAGAATCAGATGGAAAATTTAACAGTTTACGACATAATAAAAACGTTTTAAGGAAATAACCTTTCTGAACATCCTGTATAACATTGATCACGTGGTTGTATATTTTCAAAAATGATATCAAACGATTTCTTATGATAACATTACACTGTTGGCTAAATTTTATATTTTTAATTGTAAGACAAACAACATTGAAAATATTTAATTGATTTATGACATTTATGGGTTTACTTACAGAAACACCCTGTATTTAATAATGTGTGACTCAACAAATTTTTCAAACTGTATAAAAATTCATCTTGGGCCGTCTACAAAACTATATTTAAGATCGTTTTTATACACAGATGGTAAATTTTATCTATCAAAAGAATGACAAAAAAAAGACACGACAACGTTTAAAAATTGCGCAACCTAAATATTTTGAAAGGCAGCAAACAAATGTTATTGTAAACGTTGTACAATTTCCGGGAAATACACTTATTTAAAACCGTTTTTTTCCAATTTAAATTTACACCATAAAATTAATTTAGAAACAAAAAAATAAAATAGAAAGACAAGTTTCTATTTTAGTCGAAATCTAAATAATTCAAATACTCCCCACATAGAGAGCCTTCAAGATTCAAAAAGGACAAACATCTGTGTTGAAAAAAAATTATTTTCTCATTCAAAATCATTAAATCCAAACTTTTCGAATTAATTCTTATTCTATCTTACCTTAAATGGGTAGTATTGATGACTAGCCATGATTTAAAACTGCTTAACGTGATAGACTAGAAAGAAATAAAAAAACACCGTTAATTTAACACGGAGAATGAGTCGTTAACGGGTCTACGGTCCAGGAATAACTGAAGATCTCAAACTCTTTACCGATATAAAACCAGTCGGTGATGTCAGTTCTATATTTAAAAATGATTAACAAGTTCGAGGTAAAACAACCGTCTATAAACTTTTTTTAATCAACTCGTAATCATTTCATTTGAAACGTATCAATAAAGTTTTCTTTAATACTCATTTAAATAATCATTCCATGTCAATCGATCAATACTTTTTTTTTCATGGATGAAGAACTCAAAATAAATGAAAATCGATTATCTAAATACAATAAATATCATCCAGATTATCTTGATTAGTGTCTAAATTGATTACAAATTTATATTTTCTCAAAAAAAAATGTATTAAGAAATAAAATAGGTTAAACCGGTTTTTATTACATAAAGTCGTTGGTAAAGGCAGGAGACACGACTTTTATTATAAAATCATTATCGCAACTTTAAATGATAACGTGTATTTAGGGATTACTTACCTGGAGTTTTTAAAGATAAGATTTAACTGGAATTATTGGAAATACCGGGCACACCCACAGCCTGCTGGGATGGTTTTAGTGTCGAATGAGTACGCATGCGCTCAAAAAAATGATGACATCAAAATTATATTACAATTTAAATTAAAAAGTAATTAATATAAATAATTACTTAGTCATCTTAATTTTTTCTATTTATATAACAACTAAGAATTTCATGGAAATTTATCTTAATCATCGGTTGTAAGATCGCGTTCATGAACGAATGAGTCATTTTACTACATTTAATTCGTAATAATTGCATTTCTTAGTTATTTTAATTAATTAATAACAAAACATTTTTTTAATTTAACGAAAAACATTTCGTTTTTCTTATCACCAACACCAACAAAGTTTTGTTACACGGAAATGGTTTTTCCTTAATCAAATTCCCTGCGGTTGTTAAATGCAAGATAACATTGTTTCTGAAATTAATTAAGATAATATTTAAACTTTGATAGAGTTAAATGATATAAAAAGGAAATATTTTAAAATTTGATATCACTCTTTATTACCAACTTAAATTTCTAATTTAAAAAAAATCGTTTTATATCTCAATCCATTTTTGAATATAATAAAATTAATTTTTAATAAAAATCAAATAATATCAACAACTTAAAATAAAATATTAATGAATTAATGTTTCATTAAAACGGAATTAATTTAATTTTTAAATAGAAATCTACATTACCGACATAAAAACGTCAAAATCAGCAGCGCAACAGCTGTTTAATCTAACGTCTGACAGCTATTACATTATTTACCCTCTTTATACAATTTTTTACAGTTAATATAATCGACTCGAAAGCGCCGTTATCGAATACAATCATGTTGTCACCGTAACAACCCCTAGAATGCCTTCCGGTGAACCACAACCCGATTTATATTCATCATGGGTAAGTTTTGCGAAAATTTCGACAATAAAAAATGTGAAAGTGTTTCTTTTTTAGGTTGGTTTGGTATATGTGTTCAATTTAATCGTTGGAACGGGCGCCTTAACACTGCCAGCGTCTTTTTCAAAAGCTGGTTGGTTGTTGAGCGTAATACTTCTTATTATCTTAGCGTTGGTTAGTTTTGTAACGGTTACCTTTATAATAGAAAGCATTGCTTGTGCCAATGCCACTATACAGTGGAGAAAAATTCAACATCACAAAATTGATGGGGTAAGCAAATTATTAAAAAAAATGCCTTTATTGTTAGATTTGTTATCATAAATTTCTTTTGTTTGTAATCTTTGTAGTTTATAAAAACTTTAAGGTCAATTTGATTAGATATCTTTAGTAATAACAATTTAAACTTTACCATGCTGACTAATAACCAGATGATATGTTATGTTTATGGCAATAATAAGTTAGACAACTTTAATCATGGCTATTTTTGCATCTACTTTCTTCCTGATATAAGATTTATTCTGGTAGTTTGATGTCAAAGACATATTGAAGAATGTACATATGCCCAGGTATATTTGATAAATCTCTCACCTTCTCAAGAGGGTGAAAATTTTAGGAAAACTAAGATCCATAACACACACTTTGTGTCAGTTTTATTTTGATATATAATTTTGAATTTTATAAAACATGTTTTACATACTGTATAGCAAATTTTTTTAATCACTTGCCAGCAAATCTTTGTAGTGCATCTTTAAAACCTTTTAAAGCAGTATAAAGATTATTTATTCAATAAGCAATGATTATTTTTTGGGGCGTGCAGCTGGGGGTGAGTCAGTTATGTGTTGAACTTTCAGAAATACCTATTATTTTAAATATTATGCGCCAATTGTATAAAAGTGTTGCACAGTAATACATGGTGTGGTGGAGGACCAATTCACTGTAATTGAACTCCACCATGAGATTGCCTCTAAAAGTTAATTTTTTCTATATTATAATCTTTTTTCCTTATTTGCGATTTTTTGTACTTTTTCTTTTTCTATTTATTTATTTATGTGAGGCAATAAAGCGATTATTATTATTATTATATCAATTCCAGTGCCTCGCCCGCAAGCGACCTCAGCAATTTGAGGTGAAATTGTCAGTCTCTTATAACAGTCAATACAAAGTCTCTTATAAGAAGACATTTACCATCAAACCTGGGATGAAATCGTTTCTTATACATCTTGGTAAAGATGCAAACTCTCTCATAAGAAGGCGCTAGAATCTTCTCTCAAAACTGACAATATCGTTTTGATAAATCAAATGCAGCGCCTCGCTCCTAAGCGACCTCGGCGATTTGGGACGATATCTTCCTTATACAGTGATTTCACTTAAGATGCAATATACAAAAATTTATTTCCATAGAAACCAGGGTGTAACTTACACTATGTTAATAGACTGCCTAAGTCTGACGTCACAGAGATGGGTGGAACTTATACTGACTCCAAACAATTTCATTGCTAACGATAAATCGCCAAAAAATGTCATTTGAAATGTCATCGTCTTAGTTTATTTTATTTTAACACTAATGAAAAATTGTATAATATATGGTGATTTATCGTTAGCAACGAAAATGTTTGGAGTCGGTATAAGCTCCGCCCATCTCTATGACGTCAAGGCTTAGGTTGTCTATTAATTATCGTAACCCACGTGACCTGTGTAATATTGGCTGCATATCTCACTGTGTAGTGGTAGCTCAAGGTTTATATATTAAAGGTTGTCTAAGTTCCTATGCTGCAATACTTTAATTTTAGTTTGTGGGCGAGAGGCAAGAGCAGGAGTGTTTCGTGACGTAAGCGATCACGGATTGCGCACGCAACCTCATGGCCATGTGGTGCTCCATGCCTTTGTTTAATTTGAATTGCTTGGCGGTATTATTTTCCACATGTGATGTAATGCGCAGTATGGTTGCGTACGAACCTAGGCAACCTCTTATATATAAACCTTGGTGGTAGCTTGGATAATTTTAAATTAGTAACCAGATTTTGACAGCTGATTGAACGTTATTGTTATTGTTGTGATTGTCGTACGCTTTGTGAGTTTCCGATTTTCTTCGTTCTTTAACCGTTTTTGCTGCCTTTATATTTTGCGAAACAGTTCTTTTTAGAACTATCGTTGTTTCTAGTTTCTAGCGGTTGCTTTAAGCGGTAAGTCAATAAACAAATCAAACTAACGATAACGTTCAGTGAAAATTTCTTTTAGATTTTATATATTTTCATATTTAAAATATTTTTTTAATTATTAAAATATATCTAAATATATTTCAAACGGCTTTTAAAGTTAATGAATTGTCGCCATCGTTTTTAGGAACTTTCGTCGCGTTGCAATACCAATTTGTGATATTGGTTGCATANTTTGAATTGCTTGGCGGTATTATTTTCCACATGTGATGTAATGCGCAGTATGGTTGCGTACGAACCTAGGCAACCTCTTATATATAAACCTTGGTGGTAGCTTGGATAATTTTAAATTAGTAACCAGATTTTGACAGCTGATTGAACGTTATTGTTATTGTTGTGATTGTCGTACGCTTTGTGAGTTTCCGATTTTCTTCGTTCTTTAACCGTTTTTGCTGCCTTTATATTTTGCGAAACAGTTCTTTTTAGAACTATCGTTGTTTCTAGTTTCTAGCGGTTGCTTTAAGCGGTAAGTCAATAAACAAATCAAACTAACGATAACGTTCAGTGAAAATTTCTTTTAGATTTTATATATTTTCATATTTAAAATATTTTTTTAATTATTAAAATATATCTAAATATATTTCAAACGGCTTTTAAAGTTAATGAATTGTCGCCATCGTTTTTAGGAACTTTCGTCGCGTTGCAATACCAATTTGTGATATTGGTTGCATAATTTGTCGACACGATAATTAATTAACACACTGTACTTTGTTTCACACAAAATGCAACAAGTAACACTACTAGAAAGAACTAGAAACATGTGAGTTAGCCGTATGTCTCTTGAGACGGCTAAACCCGAATCATTCTAGTTCTTAGTCTAGCGCTGCATAACAATTAAAACTAGAACTAACACTAGACCTAGAACTAGAAAGTTTCGGGTTTAGCCGTGCGTCTTCAGACGTATCATTTGGATTTAACCGCACGTCTCTAAAGACGGCTGAACCCGAAACTTTCTAGTTCTAGGTTTAGTGTTAGTTCTAGTTTTATTTCAGTAAAAATAGACAACAATTTAGCGCTTAATAACAATTAAAACTAAAACTAACACAAGAGCTAGAACTAGAATCATTCGGGTTTAGCCATCTTGAGAGACGTGCGGCTAAATCCGGATGTTTCTAGTTCTAGGTCTAGTGTTAGTTCTAGTTTTACACTAGCACTCTCACTAGAACTAACACAAGACCTAGAACTAGAATCATTTGGCTTTAGCCGTCTTGAGAGACGATAAAGGAAATAGTTCTAGATCTAGTATTAGTTCTAGTTTTAATTGTTATTCAGCATAAGATTGTAGTATATTTTTATTGAACGAAAAGTAGAACTAACACTAGACTTAGAACTAGAAATATTCGCGTTTTTTGTGCGTCTCTTAAAATGGAAATTCAGAGTTATCCTAATGACGTCACCTTTTCTAAAGAAAACTTTTCCTTTGCAAAACTATCCAATACCTGTACTATTAAGCTATGTTGCATTTTATGTGGGACAATGCAAGTGCATAACAGTTTAGTAACTATCGTTACTGCATTCATGTATTACTAGTTATACATATGAAATTCCCGGTATGTCTTGGTAAAGATACAAAGTCTTGTATGAGATTGTGTTTACTCTTAAAACGTCGAAGTCGTTTGCATGCGAGGCGCTAGAATCTAAAGCTGAACCTCGGCGATTAACGTGAAAAGTTTTTATCCTTAGTACGCATTTCCTCTCACTTATAGGTTTGAAGTCTACGACATTAGGTTTGGCTAAATTGGCTCCCATTCTATAAAGAGTATGTATGTATGTTTCTAGTTAAGTTTTCATCTTCCGTCCGCTGTTTCAAGGCTTCACTTGAAGTTCTATAACCTATAGTTCTTTTTCCGGTGTTGTGTTGTCAGCCCTACGGATTCTGGATTCGCGGGAAGGCAGGCTATTACGCCCTCAGCAGATCCCTTCCGTCATTTGGTTAGCATTAGGGTCCTTCCAGCCATATTACCTTGGAGGCAAAGGCTAGAATTTGTCTTGGTTGTGCTGCCCTGATTCCACTCATGCTAATCTGGATATCTTCAAAAATGGATAACCTTAATGTTTCGAGGGTCACGCAGTCGCATAAAATGTGTTCCGCTGATTTCTCCTCCTCACCGCATCCTCTGCAGATGTCGGTGTCACTTATTCCCATGTTTAGTAAGTGTTTCTGTAGATGCCAGTGTCCAGTGATTAGACCTATGACCAAACGTAGGTTCTTCCTGGACAACCTCATCAATAAATCTGTTCGTTTAGGATCAGGGTACATCAGAGCCTCCTTGGCTTGACGACATTCTGGTGTCCTGTTCCAGTAATTTAGAAACTTCTTACGTGTTTCCTCTTTTTGAAGCTCTATTAAAGGCCTTATTATTTGTCCACCATGTCGTGAAGCTTATTTCCCGAATGACCCTTTGTCCAACAGATCGTAATCTCATTGCTAGCGGCTGCCTTACAAAGTCAGCCCTACGATTAATCCCTAACCTGGAGCACCAGGGACTTTTCTATCGGGGTTACCATACCCTAACCAATCGGTACTGCTTATTTAAGAGCTAGAAAAATTCGCTCTTCACCCTGTCTCGTCCGCTACATAACATGCATTCGTTGCACACACAAGGGGATCACGCGACTATTATCTTCGGGGACGTGTGAGTAGAGTTTTATTGGTAAAGCTGCTATTGTTGCTCGAACGCCTATGGGCATTTCTTACCCAGCCCCTTAAGACTCCTTACCAACATTTTACCCCTAAAAGAGACTATATTGACGTGTTATTATTTTTCTTATTTATTTATGTATATAACAATAAATTAATTTTTGTTTAAATTTATATTAAATCAATGAATTAATTTTTAGGAGAGTGAAGCTATAGTCGATTCTGGATCGGAATCGGAAGATACAAACGAACAAACTGCAATAGTTCAAACTTCAAGACTACGCAGCCGTTATTATTCTCTGAACGAAAAGGTGGAATTGGGAGAAATAGCTGCGTTATATTTTAATAAATGGGGTCGAATCAGTTTTTACCTTTCCCTTTGCGTTTACCTTTACGGCGATCTCGCGATATACGCGGCTGCCGTCGCAAAATCCCTTTCTGATATAGCGTGTACTTCCAATGCGACGTCCGAAGATTTCGGAACTCCGTGTTGGGAGGACGCGCCAATCGAAAAGGCGGATATTTATCGGATTTTCGTCGTCTTTTTTGCTATACTAGTCGGTCCTTTTACCTATTTTAACGTACAAAAAACGAAGTATTTACAATTGTGCACCACTACGATGAGATGGTGTGCTTTTATGATAATGGTTACCTTGGCGTGTGTTCGATTGGCGAAGAATGGGGCGATGGGACATCCGTTAATGTTCGATTTCGACGGTGTGCCTGCACTGATAGGCGCTAGCGTTTATAGTTTTATGTGTCACCATTCGTTACCGGGTTTAGTGGCTCCGTTTTCGGAGAAACAATATGTAGTAAGACAAATTGGTCTTGATTACGTTTTAATTTGTATGTTTTACCTGCTTTTAGCTTTAACGGGTACGTTTGCTTTTAAGGAATTAAATGATTTATATACGTTAAACTTTTTACCAAATAACGGCGATTATAGCGGAATTTTTATGAAAATTATATTATATTTTTTAAGTTTATTCCCAGTTTTTACGCTCTCTACCAGTTTTCCTATAATCGCTATAACCCTACAAAATAATTTAAAAGCTTTATTTTTAGACGTAAATAACATGGATAGGTACAACTTTGTTTTAAGAAAATTAACTTTTCCAACCATCGCCGTTCTACCTCCGATTGCCATTGCGTTTAGTACGCACAATTTGCATTCTTTGGTTAAATTTACCGGGGCGTACGCTGGCGCTTGTATTCAGTACATAATACCTGCCGCGTTGGTTTATTTGGCACGCGAAAGTTGTAAACAGGAGTTTGGGAGCGGTTCGAACAATAAATATCGTAGCGCGTTTAGTGGAAAATTTTGGATTTATCTCGTAGTTTGTTGGGCTGTAGGTTGCGTCATTATGGTTACCGTCAATTTTGCTTTGTAATTGTGATAATAATAACACGAGTACGATCTCTCTTTCTCTAACTCTCGGCTAAGTTTTAACAAAGAAAAACGTTTTAGTAAATGTAGAAGTATTATAACTCGTAAATTTGTATTCCTAAGACCCTAAAACCGTACTGATATATTTTTATACCAATTAATAAATTAGTATATTTTTTATGTGGACTAATAATAAAAACTTTATATACACGTGTATGTAAATATTAAAAGGAAATAAATTCAAATAAATTTCATTTATTTTGGATTATTTTAGTTCCTTTTGGTTATCAATTTTTATATAACAGCATGAGTAGAAACTAAATTACATTGTTATTTTTGGCTATTCGTGTCAAAATGTTTAAACATTTTTGACATTGGTTATCATTTACTTTGTAGATATTGAATGTGTTTCAAATTAGGTGTGTCGTGATTGAGGTGAGTACTCAAGTAACCAAGTCTTTTATAAGAAGAAATTAATCCTCAAACCGGCGAGGTACGAGAATCCTCCAAAGTCGACAATTTTGTGTTAACATATCAATTCGAGCAATCCGCCCGCAAGCGACCTCGGCGATTTGAGGCGAAATTGTTCCTTCTATATCTTGTTAACGATGCAAAATCTCTTATAAAATAATATTTACCCTCAAACCGCAAAGTAGAATAGAATAGAATCCTGCAAAGTCGACAATTTTGTTTTGATATATTCATTGCTGCGCTTCGTCCGCAAGCGGCCTCAGGGATTTGAGAAGAAATTCCTCTTATACAGTTGTCCCCGGATTGTGTCCCCGTAAGGTATAATTGACGATAAATTTTTGAATTCAAATTCCATCTTTTGCAATTAAAGTCTGGATGTCATAAAACGAAATATAACCAAGTTTTACGTCAAATGTCCTCAAAGTACCAAAGTTAACGCAAGAAATTTGTTAACCGTTGCAGGTAAAGTGGTCTTTCTGAGCAATGTACAACAAAAGTTGATTAAGATAAAATGTTTGTTATGTTAAATTATAGCGATATGCCAAATTTTATTAATTTAAGATATAAAAGCAAAATGCAGATTTTTAAATCATAAGATTAACAAAACATTTTCGATCTAAACTAAATTAACATAAAAGCTTATTCAATGATACCACCACCAACACTGACACATAATTCAGCCCTTTTCCGACATTGTTTATAACTTTTTCTAATATAGTCCAATGGAATTTCTCTAATAACAGTTTCAATTTTTTGTTAAACGGTCGAAATTGTTATTAAAATTTTTGGTGTACACCTTTTGTTTTACGTAACCCCAAAAATAAAAATCCATAATAGATAAATCTGGACTTCTTGGCGGCCATGGTTGCGGACCATATCTATGAACCCATTTTTTTTCCAAATAACGTATTTAAATAGTTTCTTATTAAAATGGTCGAATGTGGGCCGCAACCATCTTGTTAAAAATATAATTTATTGCGTTTTTCTAAATCCACGCCGTGAAGATAATTAAATAAACAATTTTCTAGTATTTCCAAATATCGGTGTTGATTCAAATTGCCGTTTATGAAGTAAGGTCTAATAACAGCGTCCCACGAAACAGCACACCACACATTCACTTTCTGGTAATACTGGCGTTTACAAGCTATGCGATAATGTGGATTAGACTTTGACCAGAATCGACAATTTTGTGATGTAACCACTCCATTAGTGGTGAACGATGCTTCGTCCAAAAATATTATGTTTTTTAAAAAAGTTCTGTCTTTCAAAATTATGTACCCATGCCACAAACAATAATCTAAACGTTTTGCTTCATCACCTAATTCGATAGTGTAGTTAAATTTTGGTTTATACGGCAATATTTTATTTTCTCGATAAATTCCTGGTAAATGGGATTTACTTATATCGACTTGAACTGCCCTTTTTCTTAACGACACCTTACCGTAATTCATTGCGTTCGTTACTGCAACAATAGACCCGAATCATGTTCATCTAAAAGCTTTTTTCCTTCCTTTTATTTTCCATATTGCCCGTTTCCGAAAATTTTTAACAACTCTCTTAATTGTTTTTTTATATACTAAAAATCCAAATTTTTCCTCAAATTAGCTTAAAACTGCATTGTAAGTAATGTTCCCCAATCCATAGCACTGCACTATAAATATTTCATGTTGTAATGTAAACATGATCAATTAATATTTGACAATAGGCTAAAGCTAAGCTATCAAATGATAATTGTTAGTTCACTCAGATCATTTGTTTTTATTGTAAAACGGAATATTAGAAAAAAATTTTCAAGAAACAACTAATTTTTTCTTTTATATGCTAAATTAATAAAATTCGGCATATCGCTATAATTTAACATTACAAACATTTTATCTTAATCAACTTTTGTTGTACATTGCTCAGTAAGACCACTTTACCTGCAACGGTTACCATACTTCTTGCGTTAACTTTGGTACTTTGAGGATATTTGACGTAAAACTTGGTTATATTTCGTTTTTTGACATCCAGACTTTTTTTACAAAAGATGGAATTTGAATTCAAAAATTTATCGTCAATTATACCTTACGGGGACACAATCCGGGGACACACTGTATATCTTAGTAATTATACAAAGTCAAAGTCCCTTATAAGATGATATTTACCCAAAAATTGCAGATGTCCCTTTCGGGTGAGGCGCTATAATCCTCCAAATTCAAGTATTTTGCATTGATATATTAATTTTAGTGCCTCGCCCGCAAGCGACCTCTTCAATTTAAGGCAAAATCGCTTCTTGTACAGTGAATTTCACTTAAAAAAAGCGTATCTATTTACTTTATCTCACATAAAATGCAACATATCTAAATATTTCTAGTTCTAGCCCTAGGTAGGTTTAATGTTAGTTCTAGTGACAGTGGTAGGTAGCACTAGTTAACATAAGATATCACTATGTTGCATACTCTGTCTTCAGACAGAGTTCTACTTGGTGCTACTCTTTGGAAGCGTGGGGGGGGGGGGGTTGAAATGTTAAAAGACTCACTGAATATTAGCCTCAATGGGTCGTGCATACCAATTACCTCAGTAGAGAAAAATCTTGGTCTTATCGCTGATAACAGCTTTCGGTTTAGTTCTTATATTTAAAAAAAAATTGGTACCGCTTTTTGCAATTTAAAGTTGTTTTACCCTTACGCCAATATTTGTAATATAAAACTTAATATTACTTTGTGTGAAAGTATGGTTCTGTCTTTGTTTAATTATTGGTTGCCTATTTATGGCCCTTATTTGGATTCTGTGTGCGCGCGTAGAGTTCAGGGAGCCCATAAAGAGACTGATATAAATACGGCAAGCCAAGGTTCGTGGAGCGTATTGTACCAGGTTGGCCAGACTCAACCTTTTCAATGAACGAAAATGTCCCCCCCCTTAGATGCCCTCTTCGTGACGTCACCAGATCTAGCCGTAATACGATTTCTGTTCTTTTCATTGTTATTTCGGTTATTTTATGGTATGTTGGGGAGTTGATGGCGCTGACGATAGGGCGGAGGGGGACGTCTGGTTTGTGAATCTTCGGTAGTCCGTAGATTCTTGGAGGTACCGGCCAAGGTTATATATAAGAGGTTGTCTAGGTTCGTACGCAACCATATTGCGCATTACGTCACATGTGGAAAATAATACCGCCAAGCAATTCAAATTAAACAAAGGCATGGAGCACCACATGGCCATGAGGTTTTGTGTGCCACCCGTGATCGCTTACGTCACGAAACACTCCTGCTCTTGCCCCTCGCCCACAAACTAAAATCAAAGTATTGCAGCATAGGAACTTAGACAACCTTTAATATATAAACCTTGGGTACCGGCGCCTGCACAAACAAACCTTTCTGCTGTTCTGCTGGAATTCCTGTGGATTTTATCAGTTCCTTCATTTTTCTAACGATTTTGTCTGTGGGGTCCTTCTTGATCTTCCTGTAGGTGACTGGGTCCAGTAGGTTCATCATTTTGTCGTCGTATTCTTTCCTGTCCATAACAACGGTGGCATTCCCCTTGTCTGCTGGTAACACGACGATTTCTGATTTTTCTTTTATAGATGGGAGTGCCGTTTTTTCACCAACCGTCAAGTTGGATTTTGGCGGTCTCGCAACTTCTTGTCGGATCTCTTCGGCTTTCAGTGCAGGCATCCCTCGAACAGCTGCTTCCACTTCGCAGATGATTTCCTCCTTTGGGACCTTCTTCGGGGCGATTGCGTAGTTCAATCCTTTGGCGAGCACAGAGGTTTCGTCTTTCGTTAGTGGGACATTCGATCTGTTAATGACGATTGTTTCTACTGGTAAACTATTACCTATCTTCTTTTGCGACCGGCGTTCCAGAGATTCAAACTTCTTGATGTGGGTGTCACGGGTCTTCTGAAATTCGCGATTAGCCTTCTCCATTGTTAGTCTGTCCACTTTGTCCCAGTCTTCTCCGGATATACAATTGGAAAGTGAGAGGTGGAGTCGTAGTAACTTCTCACTTATTTTTTGTAGATCATTGAAGGTCTTGTGGATTCTTTCTCGTAGCAGTGCTTGTTCTGTCCTAATCAAAATTCTACGTGCTGCAGCGGAGTCGATGTGGTGCTTCACCTTCAAGAAGGTTGGCGTTACTTTCTTCTCTCTGCATCTTCGTAGAAAGGCCAAACTGCTCAACAGCTTGCGTTGTCTAATTCGTGAGTTATCCAAATCCTTGATTTGTTTGTTGATATCCTCCCCATAAAGTTTAATAATATAAGTACGAAGGCTTTCACGGCCGGTGTGAATTAAACTAAAATTAGAACTAAAACTAGAACTAACACTAGAAACTCTTGACTGTCTTTCATCAAATATTGCTATAGGGGGAGCCTTATTATCGTTTAAAGTAAAGGCCCTAGATTTATAAAGTACCGCGGTTCATGACGCCTGTTTTCGAGCCAAAATGGCGGTTTGACAACTTGTCACTGCATCTCACCATTATTTAGAAAAATATTGCCGTCTTGTTGCCTTTGGAGTTGAAAAATAGCAGTAAGAAGGGCTTTCAACTCTTCAGAGTACTAGGAGAAAAAGAAAGAAATTTTGGTGTAATGTTATCAATAGAACGACATAGTTTTAAATTTCCCGCTTGATTTTCGAGCCAAAATGGCGACAAACCGCGGTACTTTGCAAATCTAGGGACTTTAGTTTAAAGAAAGTAAGATTTAAGGGTGATATTCATTCCATCAATATTAGAAATAGGAATTTGATTGTCCCTCCTGCTCATAGGACCTCTTTATTAGAAAGATCATTTAACTACAACATTTATGCCTATTATAACCCCCTTCCGGTGGTATTTAAATCAAAAAGCGTGATGGCGTTCAGATGTGCAGTTTTTGAAATGCTTTTTAACACTGCAGTAGTCGCGCCTTCGGTTATTACAAGAGTGGGTGCATGTCATCTCTAAGATGCTTATTCAATACATGCAAAAGTATTAACTGGTTAGTTCAGACAGACTGTCTACGTCATTTCTTAAATGACATGCTACTATTGGAGTGTTAAGAAGCAATGATTGGGCTGGGGTTGTATCGGTTGCTTATTCGGCGAGTTGATTAATGTATACCTAAAATTGGCTTTCTTTTGTAATTTGGCGAATTTCTTTTATTATTTTGTTTGTGAACATACAGTGTGTTAACTAATTATCGTACCTGACGTCATCATTGCAAGTATGCAACCAATATCACAGTATTGGTATTGTAATACGCGATTTGCGTATTTGGTGATGACGTTGGGTACGATAATTAATTAATACAGTGTATATTCCGGAATTATATCATCTGCCTATATTAGTTATAGGCAGATGATGTTATTATTGCAGGATTCAGTGTAAGAACACTCAGCTGAACAGGCTGGTTCAGTTTTTAATCGGGAAACTTTACTAGGACATAGTACTTGCCAAAATACCACAAGTTTTTTGTTTTTCGCAACTCTTTTGTTTGCGAGCTATGAGCTGTCAAAGTTGAGCCAAAAATTTACATTTTATCTACTATTTTATTTACATTATTGTATACTGGTTAACATACTTTTTTATAACAACTTTTTAACGCCATGGAATATTAACATAAAAAAATATGGATTGTAAAGCTTATTCATTGTTGGTACTTATTTGTCTCTTTAATTTTTTGCTTAAAGATAATAGTTTTAGCGTAAAAAAATAAGATAATATGCTACATGGTATTGTAAAGCGCTGCTATTATTAAACAAATTTGTTTTCTTTATAGCTGGCTATGAAAGTTGTGTATCTAGTACTAAATAAATAACACCAATTAATTGTGATTTTCATAAGAAAAACCATAAATAAGATGAATGTCTGTCTGAACAAATTGCGTTGTTTCAAACAATATTATAAAATTGGTACTCTTGCTTAATAACAGTCAAAAATTATTAATAATCATGAACAAATATGAGCATTCACCGTAAATGAAACTTACAAGTTCTCAGAACCAACTTTTAGAATAATTTTAGCTAAACATGGCGACACATAACGGTACATGGCACGATATTTTTTTTTTACACGGAAACTATTAACTTTGAGGAAAATACTAAAGAGACAAAAAAGTACTACTCAACAATGAGCTTTACAACCCATTTTTTATGTTTATTTTGTTGATACACGACAGCGAAATTCTTTTGCATTCACGAATGATTTTTTTGCTCGCTAAAGCTCGCAGAAAAAACTTTCGTTCTCGAATGCAAAAGTGTCATTTCACAATCTTATATCAAAAATAACTATTAAAATTGATTTTAATACCGTAAATCGTATAATGCAATTTTTCTTGAAAACGACTGGTTTTAGACAATTTTTTAAGTAGTACCTTTTTTATGTATTCTTTTCCGCAGAATTGATTGATGCAATTAAAATGGCAGAAAAAATAAGGATAAAAAAAGTATGGTACCGTAAACGCGCCCCCTACGTGTTATATTGGACCCCATAAATTTTTTTTTCTTTTACTTATCATATTTGTCACGTAAAAATATTCCTGTACACCAAATTTCGGCATTCTAAACCTTGTCGTTTTTGAGCTAAAAAAGTAGTTTTTGAGTGCCATCTTTAAAGGGCTCTAGCGCCCTTAGGAAGTATTTTCGGACCGGACTTTAGGTATATAAAGTTTTCGTCATGATTTTGATGTAAAATCACCTCTATCAATATACCGGGTGTCCAATTAGTGCGATATCGGACGATATCTCCTTACAGGGTGTCGCTAGAAGAAAATGTTTATATATAAAGTTGTTTGGTGCTCGAAGGTGCATAACCTAAAAATATTTTTGTTTATACAGGGTGTTGCAAAAACAAAGTACAAGGTACAACTTCGTAAATTTAAATGGAACACCCCATATTTTATTACATTTTTGAATTACCCTTAAAATTCGACATACTTTTTGTTAAGCATTACCTATACCAAAATTTTACCGTTTTTGAAATATTCAACATTTTGTGAAAAAATCTCCGTCTGCACGTGTCTATAAAAGAAAGCATACCCAATTTATTTAAGACCCTACAAAGCAAATCTTTTGTAGATTATTAATGCATAGTTACAGTAACTTCATGCCCCTATAAAAATCTGGTAACCTTCTACAGGGTGTTCGTAATATTGTACTCAATACCAGAAACTTGAAATAGCTATATCTCATTTTTTTTAAATGGAATGCCTCATATTTTTTTATCTTAAATTATTCGCCAAGTAATAAGGTTTCTTTTTTATAAAGCATGTCCTATACCTATTTGCAATAGTTATCAAGTTATTTATAGGACAATAGGTACAGGACATGCTTTATAAAAAAGAAACCTTATTACTTGGCGAATAATTTAAGATAAAAAAATATGAGGCATTCCATTTAAAAAAAATGAGATATAGCTATTTCAAGTTTCTGGTATTGAGTACAATATTACGAACACCCTGTAGAAGGTTACCAGATTTTTATAGGGGCATGAAGTTACTGTAACTATGCATTAATAATCTACAAAAGATTTGCTTTGTAGGGTCTTAAATAAATTGGGTATGCTTTCTTTTATAGACACGTGCAGACGGAGATTTTTTCACAAAATGTTGAATATTTCAAAAACGGTAAAATTTTGGTATAGGTAATGCTTAACAAAAAGTATGTCGAATTTTAAGGGTAATTCAAAAATGTAATAAAATATGGGGTGTTCCATTTAAATTTACGAAGTTGTACCTTGTACTTTGTTTTTGCAACACCCTGTATAAACAAAAATATTTTTAGGTTATGCACCTTCGAGCACCAAACAACTTTATATATAAACATTTTCTTCTAGCGACACCCTGTAAGGAGATATCGTCCGATATCGCACTAATTGAACACCCTATAGACGCAATTTCCGGACACCTGTATATTGCGAGTTATATGAAATACCCGGTATAGGATGTTGGTAAAAATGCAGTCTCTTAAGAATAATCGCGTAAGATGACATTTACCCTCAAAACCCCAAGGTCGCTTTCGAGCAAGGCGCTAGAATCTTCTAAACGCGATTTTGTATTAATATCAATTCCAGCGCCTCGCTTAGATCTTTAACAAGATACAAATTTTTTATAAGATATTTACTTTTAAATCGCCGAAGTTGCTTGCAGGCTAGGTCCACGTGTAAATGTATAAAATTCAATAAGTTTTCAACCTTTGTTTGTCAGTGTTCCAAGTTCAGTACATTTCCTGAGGATGCTTTACATATTGGGGTGAAACTGTCATAATACTAAATAAAGTAATATCATCAATAAGTTTAACTTTTACATTTATGTGTTTTTATAGAAATCTACTCCAATTAGCTAAAAATTAATCGATATATTTATTAGGTAATTTCAATATAAATACAATTAACACATTATTATAAAGAATCATTTATTTTTCCCTTTACTAGAGTATTGTTTAGCCTTCCTCTCCATTTGCATCTGTTTCAATTTCATACTCAACTTCGTAGCAGCCTTCTCGTGTTTATTCTCCGACAGTTTCGGTTCCGGATGCATATATTTTCGCTTTTCATCTCGTCTTACAGCCTCCCCACAACCGTGGATTTCAGGCAAACCGTGCGAAGTACAAAATCGAAGATTACAGTATTTACATTGTATGGCAAAATTGGCCGTTTTAGTTTTACATTTCCCAAAGGCACAAGTGTTATCGATCTCTTTAATTTTTTCTAACACCTCATCGATATTCGACCCACTTGCGGCCTCATTTATCTCTTTGTTCTTATCTTTTACCTTTTTATCGTCGGTTTTTGTTGATGTAATTGTAACTGTTGCCATATTTTTGGAGATTTTAAGGAAAGGATTAATTAAAACTAACCTAAAAAAAATTTTGAAATGTCAAATTGAATGTTTATGTATTAAATAACTAGATTTTTTATGATAAATTAATTAATGAATTATAATCATTTTTTAGATTCAAATTCGTTTTACCTTAGATATTTTAATAATAAAAGTTATAAATAATTTTTGATGTTAAAAATAATAGCCGGTATTACAGATTTCCTCATTCTACAATTTTTATTATGTTTATAATTTACAATTTAGTTATAAATTTAACATTAATTTTTATCAAGTTATATCTTTTAACTTTGTTATTATTTATATGTTTATAGTTTTCGTAAAAATAAAATGTTATTTGTTAAATTTTGCTTTTAAAGTCGTAGTGCAACTATAAGATAATAGATGGTGGTGATATCATTAATATACCCCCTCCTTTTTCATAACGCTCTTGTCATTTTTAAAGGTAAAGATGGTTGACTGATACAGTCGGTTTCGAAACGTTTCCCAGTGATTCTGATTTTCTCGTCGCGGAGTTGCGTTTTAATAAGCGAGTAAGTGCGGTCGACTGAGCGTTAAGATGTAACAGCTGATCCCTGGTAAGGGAGTATCGGTCGGCGTTGAGATGTCAACGTTTGAAAATCAAACGTAAAGAGAGTGATAAGCGGTTACACCATTAAATAGAAAAGTGTTGATTTTGAGTGCGGTCGGGCTCCCGTTTTTATTTTTTTCAATTTTCATATTTTATTTAAGTGTAGTGCGAAAATTATGGAAACGTTATGGAGAGTACTCTGTGTTGTATTGGGCCTGATCTGCGCGCAGTTATGCAACGGCCTCCCGATCAATTTGACAACCTCTGGTCCAGGTGAGTCATACCCCACCGTGTACTGTCACTTTCAGGTGTCCCCAACCAACTCGAAGAAGGTCACACCAAATCTACAATTTAATTTTATTAGAAATAAAAAAGTAATAAATTCCGAGAAAATCTAAGAAGAAATTACAATATTTGTGACGCAATTTTTAATTTAACCAACACACATGAATATAAAAATTAATGACTCGGTTATTTCATTATAACTCACGATTAGCGAATCTGTTTAGAACGCGAAAGTTTTATTATGTAAATCAAGTTGGTTGCGATTCTTTTGTTATTATAACGATTTTTTTTGGGGGTATTTATACTACGATTTATAAATTGTTTGATTAAGTTTGGTTCTATTAATATTTTCGTTGCTTACACGAGCCACTTCCGGCCGCGAAAGTGTCGACTTGCTGCTTGGTATATTGCCGAGAACGACGTCGTAGCGGGCAACGCGATTTCTCGACCGCTCGACTGCACGCGCTTCAAGGATAACCTGATTTGATATTGCATTGTCTTTACGCGTTTTTTTGTCCTTTACTTTACGTACTTTACACGTTTCGTAATGTTAATGTAATGTATTTATACGTTTTCGTATACTACACACTTCTTTTTATATGATGCATTTTATTATAGTTTTTTTAACATTCTTTTTTATTATACAACATTTAAGGGGACTTAAATATTTAAGAATTTATGTAATGTACAAAGTTGTGCAAAAAAAATGTACTATCCAAAGCTTTTCTTAATCGCGATACCTTTTTATAATTAAAATATTTCTGTGGATCCCTGCCCTAAGTAAAAGGATGATTATTTGTAAATATGAGATAAAAAAAAGTGTGCCTAAAAATATCTGCACATTTTCTCAAATTGTTGAACTAAGCTGGACATTTATTTCATTTTTCTCCCACTCTATACTTGCGTTTTATTACAGCGATCGCTGAAAACCCAGCTTTGCACAAATACAAAATTGAAAATGGAATTAAAATTCGCTGAGCCTTATCACTTATTCTATTAGTGTCACTTTTAGGCCCGGTTTTACAATCATAGTTTAAGCGTCCGATTAACTAATCGGCAGTTAAAATTTAAACTAAGTTTTACAAAAATTATGTTTTACACCGAATTATTAAACTAAGTATAAGAGACGGAGGTTTATACTACAGTTGGTAATAAGTGTCAATTTCATATTGTACATATAACTAACTTCATTGTTTAGTATCTGTCAAAATTATAACCTCTTACTTTTGTATTTTGTAACTGTTTGATTTTCATTTTGTAAAAATATTTTTTAACTATGAATAATATATTTACTGAACTTACGGACGATGAAGATTTCTTAGAAGTAGTTAAAATGGTGGGTTTTCCTAGAAAAGCAAAAGTTTTTCGTGATCGGAATAACCATTTTGAAAAATGGTCAGACCAAGAATTTCTGGAACGTTTTAGACTATCTAATCAGGTACATTTCCAACCTATTTGAAGCTTTGTAAAACATTTTCAAATTAAACTTACTTCAAAAAGTAACTCGAGTAGTAAACTAATTGCAGGATAGGATTGACGACACTGAGACGCCCTTGAAAAGTAACTTCTTACATAAATTGATTATATCGTTGTTCGTCCTTTTTAATCTATTAGGTATACAAAATATTAAAACAATTTTTCACAAATTGAACAAATGTGAACCGTGCACCAAGTACACAAAGAAAAGAGGTTAGGTCTGGTGCGCGTAAACTAAGTTTTGGCGCTTAAATGGTCGATGACTATTGGTAACGTAAACGTCGATTCTAACCGTAGTTAAACAGTAGTTGTAAAACATTTTTTTGTTAGTTAACCATAAATTAAGTTAAACGTAGTTTAAACCACTATTGTAAAACTGGCCCTTACTATCCGTGCAAAAAGTCAAGGCCCCTCACTTTAGAGATCGATATCTTTGTAACCGCTCGATGGAAAAAATTTGAAAAATGCGGTAAAGTTTATTGAAATCAGTGAACATTTCTGCGTATCACATGTTAATTTGGAAATTTTCGGGTCCGCGATTTTTCTTGTATCGCGAATAAACTCGCGAACTTTGTCTACTTTGCGATTTTTTTTCTCCAAAACTATATGACGAATAAGCTATATATACGGGGAGAGGAGGGTTTCGTCCAATCGGAATAGATGGTGTGTCCTAGACAGTACGTCGCGCCTTTATCTTACCTACATAAAGAAATAAGGCGCGACGTCCCACAACCGACATTATTTGACATATTTTGGTAAAATCCGGGAGGAAATCCACCCAGCCGTTTTCGACATAACGGCGTCTTTTCCGCGAAACTATATGGAATATCGAAAAATAAAATATGCCACTAATTAGGAACACATCAGGCTACCACCTGTTCAAAATTCGAGAAAAAAATCGCAAAGTTGCCGGTACCGTAAAAAATCGGGTACTTTTTTCATTTAACTCACGATAAAAAGAAAACCGTGGATCCGAAAATTTTCAAATTAACATATGTTATGTAGAAATGTTCAGTGATTACAACAAACTTTGTCGCAATTTTTTTTAACAAGCCGTTGCGAAGATATCGATCTCTAAAGTGAGAGGCCGTGACTTTTTGCACGGATAGTAGTATTGTCCAATTGTTCTGAATGGCTTTACCGTCAAGATGTCAAAACAGCCTTTTATGCTCAGCTGCGAAATTTTGGATTACTCTTGTTCTTCTTCCTGGTCCTCTTCGATCATATCGAAGACTATTTAAATTTAGCGCTTCGTCCGCAAGCGACCTCGGCGATTTGCAGCGAAATCGTGTCTTATACAGAATGTTTCTGTAAGCCATGGTATAATTTTAATTACAAATAATAGAGTAAAAATTTTTGGTCTAAACACATAAATACGCCTTCAAATCTGCAACTTCTCTTGAGAAAGTCGAGACCGCTTACTGTTGAAGCTCCGTGATTAATATCATATCAACCTGGAATCAGTTTTCATATTGTGGCACCTTGGCCGTAAACGGGCTCTATCAAATGCAGTTGTAAATCTTTTGACAAGTTACGCCGAGGTCACTTAAATCAACGTGACACGGTTGTTATATTGTGGTTCAGTGTTTTGATGTTATTTCCTCTAGTTTGGAGAATTTTAGCGCCTCGGCCGGAAGCGACCTCGGCGGTTTAAACATAACTATCATCATATACGAGATTTTGCATGTTTTCCAAGACACACAGTACTTCCCAAAAGGAACAGATAAACTCGTTAAAACAATTAAAAACAGTTTTTTAATATAGATTTTTAATTATTTTCGCTGTTTTTAAACAAATTATGACGTCATGCCATTTTTTTCAAATATTTGAGAAATAAAGTTTCATGATTTTGTATTATTTTCATCGATCATGATTTTCCATTCATTTGCGGTAGAAAAATAGCAGTAGCCATGCGTTACCATGGCAACCATTTGTTTCAGATATTTTCTTAAGATAATGATTAATTTTTGATATTTGAAATGGTTGGTTGCCATGGTTACGAATGGGAAATAATGAAACTTCCTCTTTCGTATTCCGTAATAGAAATGGAGCATTGTTATTTGAAAAAAATACCGATGACGTCATTACTCGTTTAAAAATGGCGGAAGAATTTTAAAACCTATACCAAACAATTGCAAACAATTTAAATCTTTAGAGTCTAAAGTTTAGACCCGTCTCAGCGATTTTTCCATAAACTGTTTTTAATTGTTTTAACGAATTTATCCGTTACTTTTCAAAAACCCTGTATAAGGAACGATTTCGATTCATATCGTCAAGGTCACTTGCGGCCGAGGCGCTGGAATTGACATATTGATATAACATGATATATCAAATGTCATCTTATAAAAGATTTTGTATCTTTACCAAGATATACAGGGTGTTTTGTAAGTTGTGGCATAATTTTAATCACAAATACTAGTCACAATGATGACGATTCGTATAAAAATTTTTGGTCTAACTAAACCCATAAATGGCTAAGATATGGACCTTCAATGTTAAGAAATTTTTAAACATTTTTTTAAATATTTTCAGTATTTTTTGTCTTAGATAGATAACATTTGGCCAACAGTGCGATGTTATTATGAGAAATCGTTTAAGTGCAGGATCAATGCTATACAGGATGTTTACAAAGTTTATTCCCTTAAAATTTTTTTATTGTCGTTAACCCTTAAATTTTCCAATTGATTCTCAAAGCCTATTTCATTTTAAAATTATTTTTACTCTAGGAAATTTTTGATTAGACGTATCGTTTTAGAGTTATTCACAAAAAGATACAACCTCGTTTTTGAGACAATCGTAAGCGCCCATGAAAAGCAAATTGTCAAATTATTATCCAACGTAGCGTAAAATCTGGATTTTCTTTAGTTCAATTATGAATATTTTTCAAATTAATGGTCATCAGAAAAAAGATTTTTTTTTAAAACACAGCATCAGTAGTATTTTTCCATCATAATATAGTTTTGCCATACTGTTCTCAGAACGGATGATCAGCAATTTTTAATTCTTGTACTATTAAGTACTAGACAAGTGGTATGGATACTGTTGCTTGTTATTTATCAATAGTACTAGTAGTTCTACGATCTGCCATAAAATCCAAAATGTTTTCTTCTAGTTCGGGTGTACAAACCGTTATTTACATACTTTTAGAAATGTTTGGGTTGGGAAATTTTTTATTTGTCTAGTGTTAGTTCTAGTTTTACACTATCACTAGAACTAACACAAGACCTAGAACTAAAATCATTCGGGTTTAGCCGTCTTGAGAGACGTGCGGCTAAATCCGAATGTTTTTAGTTCTCGGTCTAGTGTTAGTTCTAGTATTGTACTAGCATTACCATGTTACATTTTTCCAAGCAAAACTTTCCTCTGCAAAACTACCCAAGCCTGTACTATTAAGCTATGTTGCATAACGGACAATACGGACCTGATGTCCAATGAAAATGTTTAAAAATTTCTTAACTTCGGCTGATAATAAATAATTGGGTTGTAGAACATTCATTTAGACTCAATGTGAT